TAGTTTAGCAATCATGTTCAACTAGTCATTGAAATGTTTCACCCCATTACTTGACTCACAGAGTTGGAGATGGGATATAAACAACTGATGATGCCTGGCTTCTGCAGGGGCTGGTAGTGGTGTTCCGTTTTGGGGATTCGTTTCACATCACTTTCAAGTATTTGTTCGAGATCAAGAATCCCCAACAGTTGGGTGATGTTTAATACATTTACCAACCCCCGCAGCTGCACAGTCTGCACAGTCTGCACCTGCTTTGGAAGTTAGTCCAGTCGGCGACTTTTTTCCGGTCCAGGTGGATGATTTCTGTGAATTGCCTGGTCGGTGGCCACAGCAGGGAATTGGCTTTGTCTTGAAATGGGAAGACACCTAAAATGCCCAGTTTTTTTTTGGTGGAAACATGATGATCAACCATGAAATTTGGGGGTATTTTAGCCTATCCTCAGAGAAATCCAGTTAGGACAGTTAGGACGATTTTTCCCCAAACAGCTCTTGAGCTGAATGGGGTTCTCAATTCTTGCTAGAAACGGCCTTTGTTCCCTCATGATTTGCTGGTTCCTCCTGGTTCCGGCTGGGGTTCCGGTGCTTGTCTCCCTTCTTCTCTCTTCTTTGGTTCCGGTGCTTGTCTCCCTTCTTCTCTCTTCTTTCTTTCCTCAGGAAAGGGGTTCTGTTCCATCATGATTTGCTGGTTCGTCTTGGTTCCGGCTGGGGTTCCGGTGCTTGTCTCCCTTCTTCTCTCTTCTTTCTTTTCTCAACAGGAGTGTGCCAGACAGTTCCAGGAATATTGAATTGCACATGACCTTGGTGGAAACATGCGTTGTTGCTGTTTGGGGGTCTATGCTGGTGTAATTTTGGTGGGGCTTGAAAAACGGGTGTCATCTTGGTGGACAAATCGCATCCCACTGGTAGAAGGAAGATGGATGGATCGATGGAGAAACCGGTGGAGATAGCTAGGTGCTGGTAGAGAAGACGGGCAGATAGAAAGATCTTGAACAACTTCACGCCGGAAGCAACAACAGGTGGTTCCGAGCCTGTCTTGCCTATTCAGTGGTTAGGAGGGAGCGATTCGGAGCTAGGGCTGTATTCAGAAATTCCCTCAGGGAGCCCAGGAGCTATGAAGTGAGTCTCCCACATGATAGATTGCAAACTCAGGTACTTGGCCAGAAAGTTTTCCAAAGCTGGCACCTCAATTTTTTGTGGCCGCTGTGGATTTGGAGGCACCAGCATGGTGAGAAGCTGCGCAGCTACCAAGCCAGCAAAGCAGATGGCGAACATCGAAGAATGGCTTTGTTCATCAATGGCTACTCCAAAGTTCTCATTTTGATGGGGAAGATGAAGTTTTAAGTAGTCAACGCATGGGAGATTAAGGGGTTTTCAAGGTGTTCCCATGGTCAGAAACAATCCAAATGCAGAACTGCCATGGGGCCACAACAATTTTCCCCCTCTTCGCCATGATCCATGCGCGGTGCGGTGCGTGGAAGCACCCTTGCCATCTGTGCTCAAGTGATCCTGGTATACGGAAGAGGCCACGGCTGATTCAGCATCGCAATGCGCAGCTTACCTGTGAGTCTGGTGATGCTGGGTGAATTTGGGATCGTGCATGTGCTCACCGAATTATTGACAATGACAAATGGGGCTTTTCTAAAATGATGGTACCCCCAAGTCATCCATTTTAGATTGGGATTTTCCATTACAAACCATCCAGCTACTGGGGTACCCCCATGACTATGGAAACCCCCAAATGGCCTTAAATGGCAATCGTCAGACCACCAGTGGCAGCTTGTTTGGGGCGACGCATGGCGACGCCAATTCGACGACCAACGACATCACTGTTGCCAGAGCAGCTGAGAGCCAAATAGGCCATGGGTAATGGAGATGTGATGGGAATAGAGGGGGATATAGTGAAGGAATGGGATGTACAACCAAGAATATGATATGGGTTTGGTACCTGCCAATCATGGGGAAAACAGAAGACACACCAGATATCTCATGGTTGATCGGTTGATCTTTCTTTTTATCCATGAAACTTCTGGGGAATTCTGGGGATCTCCGGGTCTCCAGCATTTCATGGAGCTGTGAGAGACAACATCCATAGACACAGGCGATGGCCAACTCTTCAAGCAGTCCTATGCTCAGTTCTTGCAGGTGAATTCATTGTTCCCAACATTGGATGAACGGGAAAACCTACAGGAAATTTAGATATTCCATCATATTCCATCTACGTGCTGAACCACCATTTGGAAAGTCAAAAAAGTGACTTGATTCTTGACTGCGATTTGACCTGTTGCAGTTTTGGCTAAGCGCCTCCCACGAGGTACCTTCATCATCCTACAGCTTTGCTTGATACACTCATGGTTTGGCAGGCAGCGAAGGGTTTCACAATGACAAAGCCAGGAACAACCAGAAACTTGCAGGTTGCATGTCTTACTTCCCCGTTTAAATCATATTCCGTGATCTTTTAATCTCTGGATTTGTCCAGAAATGGGTGAAGGATGAATAAGACTTGTCTCATTTTATGGCCATTTCTTGGGGAAAGGTTTCTTGCAGCACGGGATTCTGGGGCGTTCTCATTTTTCAGAGAATCTGATCTACGAATTCTAGGGGGATTATATGATATGAAATGATTGTGAATGATATACCCTCTGGTATTTTACCAGTAGTACCGCACAAGGCGGTGGCGGAAGTTTAAAAAATAGGAAACCTATAGGAGAGATTGGTTGTTGTGAATCACGGATGGCAGAGCGAATCCACTATGGACCGAAAGGTGGGTGGAGCTATGTTTTTTGGAGTGGTTGCAATGGTTGCAGTGGTCACCTACCAGGTCACATCACCCACAACTGCTGGATGCAGTGTGGTGTAGTGCAGCCGTAGTTGTAGTTGTAGTGTAGTGGAGTTGTAGTTGTGGCGTAGAGTAATTAGTTTAGTGTAGTTGCAGTTGCACTTGTGGTGGTGTAATGAGTGTAGCGTAAGGTAATGTAATGTAATGTATTGTAATGTAGGGTAGTGTAGCGTAATGTAATTGAGTGTAGTGTAGTGTAGTGTGGTGTGGTGTAGTGTGGTGTGGTGTAGCGTGGTGTAGTGTGGTGTAGTGTAGTGTGGTGTAGCGTAGCGTAGTGTAGTGTGTAGTGTAGTGTGTTGTGTAGTGTGTAGTGTAGTGTAGTGTAGTGTAGTGTAATGTAATTAGTGTAGTGTAGTGTAGTCTTATGTAGTTGTAGTTGTAGTTGTAGTTAGTGCAATGTAGTGTAGTTTAGTGTAATGTAATTAGTGTAGTGTAATGTAGTGTAGTTGCAGTTGTAGTTGTAGTTGTAGGCGTAGTGTAGTGTCATTCAGTGCAATGTAGCGGAGTGTAGTGTAGTGTAGTGTCATTAGTGTAGTGTAGTGTAGCGTAGTGTAATGTAGTATAGTTGTACGTCGTTTTAGTTGTAGTTGTACTTGTAGTTGCAGTTGTAGTTGTAGTTTGTAGTTGTAGTTGTAGTTGTAGTTAGTGTAGTGTCGTGTAGTGAAATGTAGTGTTGTGTAGTGTAATGTAGTGTAGTGTAGCGTAGTGAAGCTGAGTGTAGTGTAGTGGCATGTAGTGGAGTGTAGTGTAGTGTAATGTAGTGTAGTGTAATGGAATGTAGTCTAGGTGTAGTTGTAGTTGTAGTGTAGTGTAGTGTAGTGGTGGTTGTAGTTGAAAATGCTACAAAACCCTCACGTTTTGCTCACTTTTGGCTATGTCCACAATCCCTTGCGCCTACCACGCGAAACGACATCTGAACGTCCAAAAGTGGCGCGAACATGTGGTGTTTTTAACATTTTGACTTCGACATGTGCTTCGTGCCACAACGGCGTTCAGTTTTTAAACATCTCAACTTCCAAAAGTGGTCCGAACCTGGTGTGTTTTGTACATTTTGACTTCGAAATGTGCTTCGTGCCACAACGGCGTGCAGTTTTTAAACATCTCAACTTCCAAAAGTGGTCCGAACCTGGTGTGTTTTGTACATTTTGACTTCGACATGTGCTTCGCGCCACAACGGCGTGCACTTTTTCAACATCGCAACTTCCAAAAGTGGTCCGAACCTGGTGTGTTTTGTACATTTTGACTTCGACATGTGCTTCGCGCCACAACGGCGTGCACTTTTTCAACATCGCAACTTGCAAAAGTGTTCCGAACCTGGTGTGTTTTGTACATTTTGACTTGGAAATGTGCTTCGCGCCACAACGGCGTGCAATTTTTCATCTCTCATGTGGCCAGATGGCTCCGTGCCCGCCGCTTTAGCGAGCCTACTTTTCGACCCTCCGGAGCCACAAATCATAGGAAAATCACAGTGTTTCGTGACTTTCCTACCTTTTCGCGCGCCTGCGTCTTCTTTCTTCTGACTCTTTCTCTTCTCTGATCTTCTCTCTTCTGCTCTTCTCTCTTCTACTGTACTCTTCTCTTCTCTCTGACTCTTCCCATCTCTGCTTTTCATCTGTCCATATTGTCGGAAGTTCGACTTCTAAACTTTCTTCGAACATAGCTATTGAAAAGCGCCCATTTAGAGTTGATTTTGCTTTTAACGTGGTGATTATCCATAGTTATGTTAGTTTAGAGGGTAAATTCAAGCTCTTCCCCTGACCTCCGAGCCGCTTCAACCTGTTCCCCATGAGGATGGCATGGCCGGCACAGCCTGGTTGGCTGGCTACTCCATCCGCGTAGGCTGGATCCGCAACGTCAGGGCGCAGAGCAGGGTATGGGTAGGCTTCGGCCAGTGATTTCTTGTTCCTTCGGGGTTCAGCAGTATATAAACGATGATACAAGTATGCGAATCACCAACTGGGGTGAACCACCACGGCTCCGAGCGACTTGAACTGAAAGGTTTTGGATCGAAAAACGTAGTCGTTGAAAGGACACATTGGGAAATTGCATGCTTGCGAGCAGAAACTCGACCCCAGAAGAGGTAGGAACTGATTCAATGCTACCAGTGTCCAGATCCAAATTTCAACATTCAACTTTGCAGAACCTTCCTCTCCTTTCCATCGCCATGTCTCACTACAAATGTGCTGTAGACCACAAGAATATGGCCACAGAATTGCCTTTGCTGCGAGTGTGTGGAAGTGCTTCGGAAAATCCACATATGCGGGCATTCTGGGCAAGCACGATTCCAAGATTTGCTCGGTGCAGTTGCATTTTTTGCATGTTCCCACTGGTTCCACCGGAGGGGAATCTGCCAAAAATTGATGTTTTTGGAGGGGCCCATAGTCCAACTTATGGAGGGCTGAAAAACCATAGTTACACCGTTACACCCATTGATGTCACCCCATAAACCATAGTTGTATTGTTGTATTTCCTGGGGAATCCACTGGGACTATGTTTGTTTTTTTATGGCTACCGGCCACTCCAAGGATTTCTTTCTTTCTGGCCTTCTTCGGCTGGTTTGCCCTCACTCCCGTCGTGCTGGAGGTTGCAACAAGCATAGGGATCTGTGAAAACCAACTGTTTCCACCAGAGAAGTTTCCAAACAGACCCGCCTATCTGTCCTACAAGGACTGAGTCGGAGTTCTTTTCTGACATTTTCTTGAAACTCCACCAGGTATCTATGGATATGGGGAAACAAAGGGAAACATGTTGAATTTAGGGACGACTCTTTAGGACTTGAACAGTGGCCTGACCTATTGCTCTCATGGCGTGCGCATGAAGGGCGGACAGGCCGTGGACTGCGAGGTGCCGACCAAACTTGACGACCCATCGGACCTGTCGGAGCTTAATGTCGATCTGTACAGGCCCGAAGCGCTGGCAGAGTGTGTGTGCACTCCTGGAACGACCTGCCGGAGTGTGATCTCAAAGGCGAACATCGCCTCGGTGGCAGGAACCATCCTTCTTCGTATAGCACTGGGAACGCTCTTGGAGCGATTCGGGCCAGTGAATGTACAGTGCAGTTTGATGGTTTTTGGTGCTTTTTGGGTTGCCATGTCTGCAGCCATTAATTCATCCTGGACCTACATCTTCTTCCGCTTTTGTATCGGCTTAGTGGGTGCTGCGTTTGTCACGAATCAATTCTGGTGCCCCGGCCTGGACGTGCCGATTTTCGACAACTTCCCCATTGGTCCATCCAAACAGGGGGAATCTATTGGACATAATATGGGTGTGTCTGAAAATAGTGTACCCCTAAACCCAATGGTTAATGATCATTATCCCTATTAAATGGCTATAATTGGGAATATACCCTATTTTCAGACAAACCCATATGCACAACTATGCACCTCTCTCTCTCTCTATATGGCAGTGTGTCAAAACCAAACTCGTACCCCTTCTGTTCACATCAAAATAGCTGGGATTTATGGATGTGAATAACCCCCTAAAAATGGTATTAATAGGTATTGATCCATACCCATATCTCTCTCTCTCTCTCTATACACATATATAGAAATACAATCTACCAGGAATTAGGAATCTACTGAATCTAGAAATATTTCAGATAGAATCCACCAATACTAGGAACATCTAGATACTGAATTAGGAATCGGGATATCATGAGTTTTTCTTGGCCTCCGGGATCGCTTAAATCCATCAGGTGCTCCCTGATGTTTGCGCCGAATGTCATAGGAACTGCCAATGCCACCGCTGCAGGGTGGGGCAACACAGGTGGCGACCGGTGACCAAAACTGTTGATTTGTGCTTCATACGGATTTACCATTTGGTAAACAAAACCTTACACATGGATACACATGGCTTGCTGGAAAATTCACAATTTGTAGTTTTTTTTTTGGGGATTTTCCCAATAAAAAGACACGTTTTTTCTGGTGAAATTTCATCCATGTTTGATTGACAGAGGGGAATGGTTAAATGAACGGGTATATGATGGAGGGGATTTATCATTTTTTCTATTTCGTGGGGATTTGACGTAACCACCAATCATTTTTATCAACGCATCAATTGCATATGGGGTTTCAATCATGAGAAATATGGAGGTACATTTGACAAATGATTACTGGTGGATGGTTGATTAGTTAAACATTTGGGGTTATTTATCTGTCTGGTTAAGACTGGGAAAATAAACATTACTGAACTGGGAATGGATGAGAGGTTGGGTAAAACCCCTGAATAAATAACCCTGATATATGTTGCTTATATTCCTATATTCTATCCTGGGATACCGAATAAACTGACACAGCTATAGACAATTTACCTATCAAACATAGTACTTTTCCATAGCTCTGTTAGTTTACGGGAGGGTATATCACCATAATCTTTGGTTCAAAATATACCAACCAGCTGTTTCAAAACTCCACAGGTGGAGGGGCGACACAAATCTTCATGATCTCAGTGCTCTTCAAACCCATGGTGGACGCGGGCTTGACAGAAGATGCAGCTTGGCGCGCATCAATGGCATTTCCTGCCATGATGATGATTTCCTGTGCCATCATGATGAAGTGTCTCTGCTGGAATATGCCAACTGGGAAGCACTATGATCCTCGCATCACTGGAAAAACCCAGAGTCCTTCCATGTGGGATTATTGGGAAGTCCTAAAGGACTTTCGCGTGGTGGTGATGATTTTCCAGTACTCTGCCTGTTTTGGGTGCGAGTTGGCAATGAATAATCAACTTGCAACTCACTTCAGGACAGGCTTGCTCCAACCCATGGGAAATGATCTTCATTTTTCCCTCGAAAGGTATCCAGGTGTTCTACCTCACTTCAGGGTTTCAATGGGCATTTCATGACCCAACAATATGAAGATATTTTTAATATTTTTACAAGGTGGTGCCCCATAGTTAGCTAAGTTGGTTTATAAGTCCCATAACTATGGTTTATGGCAGATATAACTATAGTTAATGGGGTTTATAAACCCACTGATAAATGGGGGGCACCATCCTGTAGGTATTGTACCATTTGTCAGGCCATATATGGATCTTGCAAAGGCCATCGACTTTTTTAAGATCAGTAGCTCCAAGGAGGCTCCAAGGGGCAACCCCTGAGGACTTACTTCCAACTGGCTGCATCTGATGCGTCTTATTTGGCCGGTTCATTTGGGATGATGAACCTCTTTGCCCGATCCACGGGGGGAATTCTCAGCGACCTCAGTTACAAATATTTTGGATTTCCAGGACGAATCTGGGCACAATTCCTTTGTTTGACCATGGAATCCGTTTTCCTCTTTGCCTTTGGCAACTTGGAGATATTTGCTGAGTCGATAAGTTTCATGTTTGAGACAAAGAAAATATCCATCAGTTAAGCCAACAGCAGTGGGGAATCTATTGGGAGTATGGAAAAAAAACATTGGGTCTAAAATGTCTTAAGCAAAGCCAAGGCAATATAGACAACTCAAAGCCTTGGTATTTGGCCTTGGCCCTGCTGGTGGGCTTTTCCCTCTTCGTTCAAATGGCAGAAGGCACTAGCTATGGCATGGTGCCATTCATGAATCGTGAGCAGCTGGCAGTTGTCTCTGCTCTAGTTGGAGCGGGTGGAAATGTGGGTGCGGTGATTACTGGCTACTTCTTCTACGATCTCATTGAGGATGAGCTTCTCCCGTTCCGTGTCCACGCTGGCTACGTCTTGTTTTGGGCCCTGCTGAGTCCATGCTACTATTGGCCGGACAAGGGAGGCATGTTTCGTGGACCAGTGGAGCAATCTCCACAGAAAAGCCCAGAATCAGCGGAATCAGTTGCATCATCAGCAACTGAATAGAGTCCTCATACTTGGTGGTGTTAGGACCGTTAGGACGATGACTTTCATAGCTACCATGGAACAAATGGATATGACCATATGATCTCCACAATGATGGTCGTACGTCGTATGTCAGCGTTGCCTACGTAAATTCAGCGGTACACCCCCAAGTCGAACAAAATTGATAGAGCTGAGTGCCAATGAGCACGATGTGCCATCCAGCCCGGGCAGCCACACTGGAGTGAGATGGGTGCCGACCCATCTTTTTCCCAGTGAAGCGCATGCATGGCACGAGCAGATTCTAAAACATGGCTTGCACGAGCGACACAGCAAACTCATGGACGAGCACCTCATGGATCCTCATATACAGTATCAACATGTATCAAAGCACAGCAAAGCCATGAAGTTTCACATGGTTTCCCCAACATTGCGGCCCATTGCGAGTAGTTTTTCAACGTGTCTGGGGTGATTTTTCCCTTTACCAGGCGGCAGATGACCAGCAGCTTTGGACACTTTCCAAGATCCTTGGGATGGGGACGATGGGACCGCGGGTGTGGCTTGAAGTTCTCGGACGAAGTGTAGCTTTGTCCAAAAAGGGAATGGATACCCCCGAAAATGGCCGCTTTCAATGGGAAGATCATCATAAAGCACTGGATGTTGGGGGTTTTCCTCGAAATTTTTAAGATCTGGTGCATTGATTCTTGGTCGATTCTCACGGGTGCAGCTACTGGAAACGGAGGGCTGATGTGCACTGGTGGTAAACATCCCATTATTTTTTCGTTCGGGTTTCAACCATCCGTTTGGTGATGCAGGATTTCGCAACCATCCACAGTAGATCTGACAAAAATCCGGTTCGACCGTCAAAACAGTGGAGAATCAGCGATGGATTTCAGCTTTGCATCCAATGGCCAACCAGAGGAGGCTATGAGCATCTGAGCATTTAATCATAGCTGTATAATTCTGTATGATGCTATTCCACGATTAAAGATGAGTCAAATTTGGTTTAATTCTATCCGCTGTTGAGCTAATTCTATAGATTCTAATTTGAGGCTTTCCCAAGTCAGGGTGGCTAGCCCCATGCCCCAAGGAATCTCGGACGCAAAAAAGCGGGTGCCTCGGATTCTGGAAGAGTTCTCGATGTAGAAATTCATATATTTATAGCTATTTTCCGAACGGGAAACCTAGTTGGTTTTCCACATCTACGTTAGTTTAACCTAGGGTAATATATGGTAATATATGGTAGTATAATAATACCCCCAGGCCGGGTGTGCCGCCCGAAGGTTTATCATGTGACCAACTCTTTAGGGTTGATTTAGGGTTTGTTTGTTTAGGGTTTATTTTGGGCTTCATTTAGGTTTTTTAGGGTTTTTACCAAGGTTTTAATAAGATGTTACTTTCAAGGTGTGCCTAGGGTTTCATGTTAGATTTAGGTTTTAGGCTTTAGGGTTTTGTATTTTTGAAATAAATCTCGTCAGCCAAGTTGAGTTGGCCGACATCCCAAAATGCATGAAACACTGGCGCTGCTCGGGCAGCACACCCGTCCTGGCCGTAATGATACATTACCCTAGGTTAAACTAACGTAGACGTGGAAAACCAACTAGGTTACTAGGTTTCCCCTTCGGAAAATCATGAATGGTTGATTTTCCACATCTAACTGTTAATTTACCCTATGGTATAGTATAATATAGTGAGAATGGAAAATAATGACGCATCATGGAATATAATGGACATTTACTGGAATAGAACGCAATATATTGTAATAATATATATATACATATGATAATGTAATTCATATCATTTATATTTCTCTATAATGTGGTATATATATATAATTAATATGTATTCAACATGATCTATTAATTTTGGCTCAAGCCATTTTGGCTCAAGTCCCTTATTGCTCGCTTACTTTTGTCTGACCCTTTTTCTGTCTTCGATCGACCGCCATGGGTACCCCCATCAAATCACCAGTTCAAAAGAAGATGAGGTCACACGGAGACGCAGAAGAAAATGATAAATCAGATGATGTTCAGATACTTGATGTTCGTAGAAGCGGAGACCAACAAGTGCCCCATGAAGTCACCTTGCAAGCAATCGCCAGCCTCCTTGATCAGAAGCTAGACCCTGTGCACAAACTGGCAAGAGAACTCCGAGATGACTTAAGTAGATTCAAAACCTCAGTCAGAGAAGAATTCCGAAGCATGGGCCTCAGAGTTTCCAATATAGAGGGGTACAAGGCAGAGACTTGTTCCAAAATTGCCGAGCTCGAAAAGGAAGTCGCCAACATCAAGCTTTCCATCAACACCAGCGGTAACACCCCAGCCACGAAAGCCAACCCAATTGACCATCACAGCAACATCGTGGTAGGCAACATCCCAGGAGAAGCAACGTTTGAGGCAGCAAAAGCGTGGCTAACCAAGCATTGCCTGAGTTATCGTATCGAGCCTCCGGCCGAAACATATACCAAGGGCCCATATGCAGGTTTGATTTTCGCAAAATGTGTCAGCCCAACCCAGCGGGACTCCATCCTCTCATCCATTAGGACTTTGCACAACTCAACCAGCAGTGTCCCCAAGACCTGGGCAAAGATTGACAAACCTCTCAATGCCCGAACGGTCGAGAGCACATTGATGGCCATGAAGCGCATGCTAGTTGAGTGGGAATACCCTAGATCCATAGTAGACATTGACCTGGATACTTGTACGCTCAGTGTGGGAAGAAAGGAAATTGTACAAGTCTCGGTGGACAGCTTTAGCTTGCAGCTAAAGTGGGTTGATGGAGAATGGGAGAAATGGGAAGAACTCCAGTCTTCCGATGAGCTGGCCGATATCCAGAGCAAAGCCCAAGCAAGGCTTGATAAAGCAAAAGGGTATATGGCCAACAAAAAGGGCATGGGTAAGGGCGAAGGCCCTCAATAGGGATGTTGGCGGCGTGTGGGCTTTGTTTCACCTCCTGCTGGCACGCAGCAGGCAATTAAAGTCAATGGCGAAGAACATTGCAATTTTGAGAATTTAAAACTTGGCAGTTGGAATGTCGAAGGCCTCACTGACCTCAAAGAGTACGAGGTGTGCCAACACATGCAAATTCACAATGTTGATGTCATGTGTATTCAGGAAACTCGAAAGAAAAACTCTGCGTACTACACTGCTCATTTTGGATTTTTATTTGTCCTTTCTGGAAGTCCCGGCGCGGGGTGTGGCTGGAACGGTGTTGGCTTCGTCCTCGCTCCTCGCATGAGAAGACATGTACAAAGCTTTTTGCAGTACTCTGATCGTTTGTGTAGCTTGAAAATCAAAACTCAAGGTGGCAAGTTTGGTATTGTTTGCGCTTATGCGCCCCACAACCTGAAACCTGCTGATGACAAACTAAAATTCTATGAAGACCTTTCTTTTGTGATGGGCAGATTGTCGGTGAACGGACCCAAATTGGTTTTTGGCGACCTCAACGCACGCATTGGTCAGCGTCAAATTGGTGAAGATGATGTTCTTGGTGATTTTTGCTTTGGTAGAATTGCGCAGCATCAAGTTGATATCCCGAACAGAGATTTGCTGCTCGAGTGGTGTCAAAGTTTGGCGATGATAATTGCAAACACGTTTTGCCCACAACCACAAGAGAGACTGGTAACATACCATGAGCCGCATGTTGGACCAGCAGATCCGGTTTCTGAGACAGGTTTTGCAATGCTTGATTTTTTACTTGTTGGGGCACATTTCCAGAATCACATTCGTGACGTTTTCAGTGATAGATCAGCAGTGCTTGCTTCCCACCATTTCCCTGTTACTGCTATCCTTGATGTGCGCGTTCCTCAATCTTCTCCCCGTAAGCGTGTCAGCCGCTTGCACCTTTCTGCTTTGAAAGACCCTGCAACACAACATCGCTTAGCCTTGGAACTGCAAGCAGTTCCTGCCAGCAGTCCGGTGGATGTAGACATAGATGCCGCTTGGGAGGGTTGGTGTGAAAGAGTGAACTCGTCAGTTGCCAAGGTTGTTCCTGTCAATGTTCCTGTCGCAAAACGACCATGGATTAGCTCAGGTACTCTCAGGTTGATTTCCGCGAAGCGTTCAGCTAGGGAAAATGGGAACTGGCCAGAGGAGAAACGCCTTAGGAAGACTGTCCAAGTCGCTGTGCGCAAAGACAAAGCAGACTGGTTGGAGAATTTGGTTGCGTCGCAGGGCTGGAATGCAGTCAAGTATTTGAAAAAGGGTCCTCGTAAGCAAGAAGGTCGTTTAAAGAATTGTCGTGGGGAACTTGTGGATTCTGATCTCCGCACTGAAACTTTTGCAGAACATTTGGAAAATATACAGTGGAGGGTTCGTCCTGCAACTTTGATCCCGGATCTTGAGCCACCGCTTCGTGCGGAATTGCCAGTGAGCTTAGACCCGTTCACCATGCAGGAGCTCGAATTTGCTGTTGCAAGGCTTGCCCCAAACAAAGCTACCAAACAAGGTGATATCCCAAGTGAAGTGTTCAAAGCTCTTTTGGCTTCTGGGTCTGCCGAAATGCTTTGGGTGTTGGACTTCTGCAATCGATGTTTGGAACAGAAAACAGTGCCGCAAACTTGGTCTACTGCTTCCATGGCTTTGATTTTCAAAAAGGGGGATCCTGCTGAGTGTGACAACTACAGGCCCATCAGCATTTTATGCATTGCCTACAAAATGTTTGCAGCAATGCTCAAAAACAGACTCGTTGGTGGTGGGGTTTTGGGTGCGCTTTGGAAAACTCAGTTTGGTTTCAGACCGCGTTACGGTACGGAAGATGCCATTTATATTGCTAGACGACACGTTGAAAATGCTTGTGCAGCCCGCTTTGGACAGATCAAACTGCTTTCTTTGGATTGGAAGAAAGCTTTTGACAGTGTACATGTTGATAGCTTACTCGATGCTTTACGTCGTTTTGGTTTGCCACAAGGTTTTGTTCACATGATCGGTGCGATGATGCGAAGCAGACATTTCTTCGTCACAGACTGTTGTGAGACTTCTGCCCTACATAGCCAAATGTCTGGAATTTCCCAAGGTTGCACTTTAAGTCCCCTTATTTTTGTTATCCTCATGTCCGTCCTGATGCACGATGCGCTCAGCATGTTGCAGGGGGATGCCAGGGAGGCTTTTGAACGGGGGGATTTGGCTGACGTTGTCTATGCAGATGATACGCTGTTGATGGGAGTATCCACTTTGTACTTGACTGAATACATGCAGGCTGTAGCGGCAGCTGGTCGCAAGTATGGCATGGAACTTCACTATGGCAAATTCCAACTCCTAGGTGCGCGTTGCAATCCTGATATTCGTTTACCAGACAACACGTGCATACAGACACAGCAATGTATGATGTACTTGGGCACGATGATGACTGCTGATGGTAAGCACGGCAACGAACTATCAAGACGCATTGGGATTGCCAAAAGTGATTTTGCGGCACTGCAGAAGGTTTGGAAACATTCATCGCTGCACTACCGCCAAAAAGTGCAGATTTACAAAACTGTGGTTGAATCAAGGCTCCTCTATAGCCTGTGCGCATTGGTTTTGACGAAGCAAGAAAAACGTCGCTTAGATGGTTTCCAGAACAGATGTTTGCGTTCTATTTTGGGAATACAGCCATCTTTCTTGTCCAGAACATCCAACGCTGAAGTCTGGCAACGAAGTGCGCACGTTCCAATGTCCAAACTTCTTGAACGAAAACAGCTGTTGCTTTTGGGAAAGATTCTGCGTTGCCACCCGAACCACCCTCTGAGACAAGTCTCGTTTGAACCTGGCACATACACTGCTGCTACATCTCGATATCTGAGAAGGGTAGGCCGGCCTCGTAAAGAGTGGATACCTGAAGTTTTTTCTTTAGCACTTTCCTTTACAGGTAGTACTCGCAATCTGTTATTTTTTGTCCAGAATGAAAAGCAATGGCGCCAACTGGTTTTGAACCAATGAATCGATTGGGGCCAGTCAGGCTGCCTTGTAGCACAATGCCTTTAAGTTTTTAGTCTGCATGTTGTGTGCATATGTATGGAGTTGGAGCCGCCCACGCGCCGCGCGGCGCACGGCTTGACAGACAGACAGACAACATGATCTATTATCCGATCGAAATGCAGCTTTTCTCGCAAGCCTTAGAGGCCATGAGCTTTCGGCGATTGATTTCGCTCGTTTCAGGCCATGAGGGGAGCTACCAGAAACTGATGGTCGGAGCTCGGGCTTCTGGAGGACGACTTAAAAACTCCTGCTTGGTCGATCTACGTGTGTATTTGAACGATGTCAACTTGGTGGGTGAAAAGTGGGTGAAGCATCAATGAGACATGTGGAATCTTAAATGGGATACATGGATGATACAGGGTAGTTGGGCGTGGCTGGGCTGATCAGGTAGTGGTTATGAAAATCTGCCTGGTTGAGAATGGAGATTATGATCTGACTCATGCACTGGGAACCCCGCTCTCAACCAACCAGTAGTTGGGAGAACCTAGTGTTTCACTGTTCAGGTGGTCAGCATTCAAAGCGTCATAAACTTGGGGGGTGTTTCCTAAGTCATGGGGGTACCCCCAAATCATTCATTGATTTCGCATTTTCCATTATAAACTTATACACCATCCAGCAAAAATGAGGTACCCCCATGACTTAGGAAACCCCCCATGTGGGTGTCAGAAAACTTCAGGCGTCAGGCGGTGTCAGGTCCTGTGCCGCCAGAAACTCTCATAGGACCTTGATGGCTCAATGCGCTTGTTGCTGGTCCTGGGCGATTGCTTCATGGAGTTTGTCCGAGACTGGTGCATTCATAGTAGTTAATAAAGGTTATTAACGGTATATAAAGGGTCAATATAGTGGTTAATAGTATACCCCAAATTACTGAAACACATGGGAACACGGATGATCATCAGTTCGAATTGGGCTAGCCTATTTGCAGATCGAAGCATTTGTTCGCCTTTGCAATCCACAAGTAGAGGGCCCCAACTTCCTTTTACGTAGTGCAGCTATTGCTTGGCAATGTCACGGCGTAACCAGCATGCCTCTGGAAGCCCGCAATCATCACAATCTGCCATCAAGAAGTCCCCAGACTGAAATTGTGAAAGGGGTGGACTGAAGTGGATGTTCCTTTCCATTGGGAGCACTAGAACCAAATTGGAGTCAACCTTCCCAACCCGGCCCAACAGAGAGCACAGCATGGTCACTGTTTAACCGGGATCCAGTAAAGCTTCCGTGCTGGTACGACCGTAGGACATCTGGGGGATACCTAGTACCGCAGTGCCCAAACGAGCAGGTTCAACAAGAAAACAATGGTTGATGCAGGATGGTGCCCAGTTGGTTATTTTTACCTTTTAACATTGGAAATCCAAGCCGCAACCTATAGCAGGGGTTGGTTCTCCTATTTGCAGGGACCTCACCCAGCAGATTTGATCTATGAAAAATCGGAAAATCCACCATGTGGATCCTGGGGAAATCCATGGATTTCCATCGTTTCCGAAACGTAAAATACGGGAGGTTCACCGGTTCACCATCGTTTTTTTGATCAGATTCATCAGATCCCCGTCTCCGCCAGGTGACGTCACCCTTCTCCACTGCAGACTTGCAGGTGCCGCTTGTTGCGACGGAGAAATGGCTGCGTGAAAGAGACCTTGGTTGAGAAAAAAGGGGATTTAGTAGGGATTTTGTAGGGATTTAACCATCATTTAGTCATCATCATTTAACCATCGTTTAACCATCATTTATGATTATTTATGAAGTTTCAATCAGATTTTAAGCATCAAACATATGGGGATTTTCTATTTGACAAATATTGATAAAGGATGGTTGGTTGATGATTAAATGAATATGTCATGGGAATATTTCATGGCGATATGATGGGATATACATGACAAACAATATGGTACCTGATGATGAGTTGATGATTGTGGGGGGTTCTACTATCCGATATGTACCCGGCCTGGTAAACATACAAAAAAACTATGGAAAATCACCATTTTTCATGGGATAATCAACTAATTATAAATGGCCATTTTCAATAGCTATGTTAGTTTACCAGAGGGTACTGGGATAGTATCATCGTCCATTATTGTAATCTCGTTCTGAACGCCAACCAGTACAATGGAACGACACAACTCGGGTTTCGAACACTGCTCACCTGCAGATTGGATTTTAGCCAACTCACTCTGCGCAGAGATTCTAGATCCACACTCACCACCATCACCACCATCATCCAGTTGTTTTGCTGCTTTTAAGACTTTTTAAGATGTTGTAAGTCCTGTTATTCTAGGGATATGAGTCATGTAAGTCGCACGCATGGCACAACATTCCACGCAAATTCAACAGACCTGAGGTTTCACTTCCTCCCGAGCCATGCTATGAGGATCACGTGACCTGCAGCCGTCCCCTGCTAAGCATGGAGGACTTACGCTGCACAGTGGAAAACCAGTTGCAAGCCCACGTAGGGACTGGTTTCCTGGACCGGGAATGGTGGGTCCGCTTTCTGCAGATCATTGGCGGCACAGAGCAGGAAGCACGTGACCTGCTGAAAGGCCACGGGGCCAAGATCAGCGTCAAACAGTTTTTGGATTTCCTTTTCGGCCCAAAAGATGTCAGGGTGCTTACAGCAGAGAATAGTGACAACACCACAAGGACCAAGAACTTGAGAGAATACTTCGAGAAGCACTACCGCGAAGGAGGACATTTCTGTCATTCTGACTATGAGGTCTTTGGCAATAGTGAATTCTGGACCTGGAGGCATCAGCCAACTGGGATCCGAGTGTGGCGCGATGCCATTGACCTGACCTCAGGTGATGGTGGGCAAGTGTTTTTTTCATTACACCAGCGAACTTGCCTTCGGAAACATCACCCATCCCAGCAAGGAAGCGGCTGAAATTTGGGCATCTTTGAGAACCGAAGGGCCCAACGCCAATGCCTGGTGGGGCAAGGGGATCTATACAGTCCCATTGCCTCCTGACCAGTGGGAAAGTCGTGAGCAGCTGCTAGACAATAATTTCCGCAACATGATGCAGAGAGACAGAGACAGCGATGATCCACAGAAAGGTCCAGCATATGTAGATAGAGAATATCCCAAGAGGGCAGCCTTTTGTGTCCCAATCCTCATCGATCCTGCGAATGCCTTCGATGTCTCCATCAGAGCCACTCCAGAAATGGAGGCAGCAGGGAAGGAACCAGGCAGGAATCTTGCGAACAAACTCTTGAACGAGCCGGGCAAGCCTCCTCGCTCTTGTGTGGTGCTCCGAGTGTCTGGTGAGCATGGCGTCCAACATGCCCGCGCACAGTTGCTGAATACCCTGCGCCAGCGTGTGCGCCTCGCACCTGCAAACCTGGAGGCTAAGTGGAGGCTGGCTACCACACTACGACTGCGTGGCTTCTATCAGGAGGCGTTGCCTGTGGCTCAGGAACTGGTGGAACTTTGCGAGTCAACATATCGTCTCGAGAGCCACTATGGTTTCGTAAGTCGCGCAACGCTGAGTGGCATTCTGTGCGACATGGGCAACTTGCGGGAAGCTGAAAAGGTGCAGCGAGAAATCCTCGATGCCGACTTGAAAGCTTTTGGTCCTGAGCATGAACTTACGGTCTTCTCTATGGGGGAATTGGCCGTAACTTTTTCAAAAATGGAGGGTCGTGAAGGTGAAGCTGTTGAGTTGTATCGCGAGGTTTTGGCCTTCAGAGAAAAGCGGTTGGGTCCTAGATGGTCCTAGCCATGTTGCTACTTTGCGCACGATGACTAACTTGGCTATCACCCTGAATGAAATGGACAATCACCAGGAAGCAATCGAATTGCACCGCAGGGCTTTGGAGGCCAGAGAAAAGACATTGGGCCCCGAGCATCCTGAGACTTTGCAGTCTGTTAGCCACTTGGCAGTCGCTCTGCATGGCAGAGGTGATCTGAGTGAAGCCTTGGCACTGCAAAGACGTGCATTAGAAGCCAGGGAAAGGCATTTGGGTCCTCAACATCCAAGTAGCCAAAAGTCCCTCGAGCGAATTGTGTCAATACTGGGCGATATGATTAACAAGGAGGAGGCCCCAGGTGAAATTGTAGAGCTGTGCTGCGAACTGGTGACATCCAGGGTGACCACTTTTGGTCCTGAGCACCAGCACGCGATGTCGTGTATTGGCGACTTGGCTCTCAGAATTTTCAACATGGAAAATCATGAAGCTAAAGCTGTGAAGCTGTACCGTCAGATTGTTGCCTCCCAAGAAAGGTGTTTGGGCCCTAGCCATGTTGATACTTTGCGCACGATGACTGACTTGGCTATCACCCTGAATGACATGGACAATCATCAGGAAGCAATCGAATTGCACCGCAGGGCTTTGGAGGCCAGAGAAAAGACATTGGGCCCCGAGCATCCTGAGACTTTGCAGTCTGTTAGCCACTTGGCAGTCGCTCTGCATGGCAGAGGTGATCTGAGTGAAGCCTTGGCACTGCAAAGGCGTGCATTAGAAGCCAGGGAAAGGCATTTGGGTCCTCAACACCCAAGTACCCAGAGGTCCCTTCAGAGAATCGAGAACCTATTGGGCGACATGATCAACAAAGAGCTGGAGGTGCCAGGTGAAATTGTAGAGCTGTGCCGCAGGCTGCTCTGTGCATCGCTTTGACTGGGGCTCGCAACTACCCTGAAGCAGTCGGGTTGCTTCGTCAGGCCTTAGAAGTCAGAGAGAAGACGCTAGGAGCTGATCATCCTACTACTTTGCACATGGTCACCATCTTAGGCTTTGCCCTGGAAGAACTGGGTGATTTCAGTGACACAAACTTGCACCGCAGGGCTTTGGAGGCGAGAGAAAAGCTCGGTGTCATGAATTAGTCAGCTTTGTAGAGACCATGCAGTCCTTCCGGGCACTGCCAAATGCCAGTGGGGGGGTGCTGCTTAAAGATGTTTTCACCAATCGCGAAAGAAAATTCAGACCCGCTTGCCTTTCACCCTTTCACCCAAAGATCCAACAATGACTCCATGTTTAGTATTTGCCTTGCGGTGGGCCCTGCTCCCAGTTGTATGTTCAGGTCATTAAAATAGCAAGGATTCACAAGTCGCTTATCCATTGCCCCATTGAACTCGGCAGCCAGAGTGGCTATGTTTCTTAGGGATCTTACCTACTTCATCTGGGGCTCCAGTTTGGATGGACTGGGTATGAGTCATATCCCGAGTTGTATCAATGGCATTCAATGGCCAATGTATTAGTGCGGGATTCTCCGGAGCTGTTGTGGCTACCAGGCCATGACTTTGGCTGAGATTCTCAGCCAGTTTTTTTTTTTCAAATTCTTAAATTCTTGGGCGCCAAGATGATGGAACCAAACAAAAATGGTCATTTACCCTCTGGTAATTTAACATAGCTATTGAAACTGGCAATTGAAATAGTGAGTTTTCCCATGAATAGCATGGTGATTTTCCATAGCTATGTAAACGTTTACCAGAGGGTAAATGCACTGATCCATAGCCCAAAACATCAACAAAACGCCTGGCCATGCCCTGGGAGTTTTTTCGCTGCAGGTGACATTTTACGAGAATGGTCAACCGCTCGGAGAGCCGATTCCATTGGCTGATGGCACCTCGGTTTTGATTTTTTTCCTACAAGGTGGTGCCCCATAGTTAGCTAAGTTGGTTTATAAGTCCCATAACTATGGTTTATGGCAGATATAACTATAGTTAATGGGGTTTATAAACCCACTTATAACTGGGGGGCACCATCCTGTAGGGGAAGAGATAGAAAAAAAAGGGATTTTAATGGGATTTGAATGACTTCACCAAAAAAAACATTGGGATATATTTGGTGGATTTTTCACTGACTGATATAACTGAGATTTTTTTTTAATCAATGGCCATTTCAGGATGCTAAATTGGAGGTACCTACCATATATAAGGCCTATTTTTCAGGCCTATGTAAGGGAATATCCCCACAATATATGGCCTTATATGGTACAGTACCTCCATTTTAGGATCCTGAAATTCCCATTGGTTTTATGGTTTTTCTAGAACTGTTTTCTTTCCAGGCTCATCCTGAGTTCATCCGCAATCCAGCTGCAGTTTGGGATGTCCCAATTTTTCCCCTGAAAGTTGGGTCTTTCGAGCCACCTGAAGTTACAAGAGGGTATGCCGCACCAGCCGCGTGTTTTTTTTTAATATTTAAATCAACTCAGGTGATGACTTGCACATAAGTTACATTTTGATCAAATGTCTGCTATACTAAAATTTGAAAACTATTTTTGCATAATTGAAGTGACATCTAAGTATTGTGGGAAGTGGGGAATTTCCCGAGTATTATCCCAATATTATGCTAACAACAAATCTATATAAGTATATCCGATTATATTGGGAAGATTAGACGTGGCAATACTAATGATAATTCCACTTCTTACAGCAAGACGATTGGATACTTATATAATCGTGGCAATACTCCCATACTTGAAAGATCATATTCGATTCCACTTTCTTATGGTTTACAAAGGATTGGTTTGTTTGGGAACATCTTAACCGGAAACCATCGTTTTTCCCATTAAATATGGGAAATAAATATGGGACAAAGAACGGTTTCAATTTTCCCTTCAACCAATCCAGTGCATGGTTATGATGGTGCCCCCCAGTTATAAGTGGGTTTATAAACCCCATTAACTAGTTCGTTATATCTGCCATAAACCATAGTGAAATGGGACTTATAAACCAACTTAGCTAACGAACTGGGGCACCACCTTGTGATTGGTTCACGCATTACGCCCATCTTGGCCATCCTTATGAATCCAGCAGTCCACAAAACCACAGGCTGCAGACGCTGCTACGCTGGGCACAGAAACCGCAGGAGACGGGTCTTGCAGGGAAAGGACTTTCTTTGCCAATTTTTTGTGGGTGAAAAGCAGAGAGTCCTCGTTTCTCGCTCAGCTTTGAGAACACCGAGTTTTTTTGGTTTGAATTTCTTGGGTTTGACTCCTCGATACTGAATTTCAACCATGCAAGTCCTCGCTGGCTTTCCGATGTTTTCCTTTTGTATTCAACATGTGCTGAGCACAGCTTGTGTCAACGATCAGCTGGTGATGATTCTGGCTGAATTTCGGATTGCATCTCGACAGGTTTGAACCAAAACAACACAAAAGGGAACAGACAAGCAGGAGCATCACACGAGCACAGCCACAGCCATGGTAGATCAACTCGTAAAACCCAAGTACAGACACAGAATTCTGAATGGCTCAACTCACATCGACTTTAGTTGACAGCATTCTGCAGTATGTTCAGTTGATACTCAGTTGGATTCCACCGACCTCCCTAGCCATTGGCAGTATTTCCATGGCGCTTGACACCGAGGACGGTGAATCGTTCACGGAGGAGTGGCGACTTCGTCATGAAACGTTGATCAATGAGATCCGGTCACTGCAAAGTCATGTGACGACAGCAACTGAGACGGTCGAGCCTTCCCAGGTTCAGGCTGAACAGGAGCCACAGAAAGAGCCACAGATCGAACCTCAGATTGAGACGAATGAGTCAACTAATGAGCCAGTGGCCGAGGAAATGGATGGCGATTCCAATGGCGGTGAAGAATCCATGGGAGACAGTGGTCCGTCCTGGAAACGTCAAGCAAAAGAGCTGGATCGCCTGAATGCACGGCTCCAAGCGAGTTTAGAGACCTCCATCCCCAGCATCGCCATGGCGACCAAGGGCCGGAGCAAGTCCAGCTGTCCCAAGAAGTCCAGCTGTCAGGCGAAGGCTGGCCGCTCCAAGAGTGAAGCACCGCCACCGCGCGGATGGGGACATGGACTCTCGCGGTCCTGTTCTCCCCGAAGCCAGGCTTCGCCAGACAGGGCCAAAATGTCCAATCCAAACGAACTTTCGAACGGCTCCAAAGATCATAAAGATCTCAAGATCAAGGACAAGACGGACCAGAAGGACAAGGACAAGATGGACAAGAAGGGATCCGAAAAGATGGAAAAGATGGAGAAAGGATCTTCAACCCGCCGTGAGGCAGAGCCGGAAGTGTCTCGCTCCTCGGCACTGGCAACAACCAAGTGGCCAGAACCCACGCGACCACCGAAACGGGCGGTCGTCAAGAAGCGGACGGCACCAAGGACTGTGTCAAGACGAGTCCTGGACCTGGTGAAGGTTCGTAAAAGCAAACACATGTCTGTCTTTACATTATAGGAATCCCTATATTCGGATAGAACAGTCTTTCAAGTCATTATTTTGGTATAGGAATAGGAATAGGAATATATATATATAAATAATATACTGTTCAAATCTTTTTTGGGGGCTTATGATATTTCAAGACTTTCCCAGCACGTTTCTTTGGTTAATTATTAATCCAGCTGACTCACCTGACATTGGTCTCCACCCGCTGGGATCCCAAGGATTGCAAGTTGGAGCGCCTTTTGACCAGCCGCGGATGTCTGTCATGGCTCGATTATCTGTGGCTCAAGCAGAAGCAAAAGAAGTGGAAGCAACGAAAGCCGCTCCTACTGCCGCTGTGATGATTTGAGCAATCATCCATTTTAGATTGGGATTTTCCATGAACCATCCAGCCATTGGGGTATCCCATTTCTGGAAACCCCCCACCATTTGGGGAACCCACCGGGAGGATTTTGGCTTCGCCCAAGGTCACCGTGAAGAATTGGAACATCCCTCGGCTGTGTTTGGAGGGAGCTCAAAGCGCTCAATCTTTTAGTGGAGTTGTTCCAAGCACCACGGGCTCGTATGTTCCTTCATCCACCAGCAGCCCTCAGATGTGGTACCGACCTGTCAGCCAAGTGAGTCCTGTGAGTCAGCGCCAAGTGCCCAGTGGAGCTTTCAGCGGTGCGCAGGTGTTGCAGAAGGCCTCACCCGTGTCCCAACGCTTGGCACTTTGAGTTCACCAAGTGCGGGAAGGTCAACAGAAAAAGGACGAGACGGCCTGTTCAATGGATCCACTGAGGCATGAATTTCATGAATTCACAGACCTAGCTGTTTCATTGGGGAAATTTGGGAATCCTTGCAAACAGTGCATCGAAGCAATTCACAATGCACACAGCCAATTAGTTGCTCTGCCCGTGGTCAGATCCAGAAACTCAACGCTGGCCATGCACAACAGCGTGCGGGGTCCTGGTCCTTGCAGCGAACTCTCATGGGTTTGTCCTCATAGGAGAAGTACCATGACGTACTCATAGTGTATGGCCATTGAACTTTGAACAACATGGAACGATGATTTTAAATGACTGGATTCAGGGTACCCTTTCAGACAACCCCCGATGGTTGGGTCAATGCAGATCAGTCACTTTGCTGGAATCCATGAAAATGAAGGACTTTCCAACAAAATGATCCGCGCGCATCATCTTACACCCCATGGTATGCAACTTCGCCTTCAACTCGTACGCATCTCGCTATGCTTTGCTGAAAACGAGGACCAGAAGAGCTGCTACAAATACAATCAGCGTCCGGACCACAAAAGGGCGATGCTATGGCCGGCTATGGAACCGATTTTGGGTCCCCAAATGGATTAAAAAACATGATAAAAGGCTCCAAAAAAACATGTTGAATCAGTTCAATCATCACCTTTGTCCCATGGATCTGTGGCTAAGCAGCACAACTGGGGATCACTGATCACACGTCTGGTAATTGTGGCAATGGAACATCTTAAATGGAGCTTTGTAGCTGGGAATCTCATCAATCTATATTTTTTCGTGGATTTTCATGGATTTTCCATGTTTGATTATCAGAGGGTAGATACAAATCGCCAGCAGTTTTCCAGCAGTTTTCCAGCAGTTTTCATGGGAGGGGAAAATGATGGGCTCAACATCAGGGTTGAATCGTCAACTTATTGCGACTGGGCATGGCGATGACCAGTGGATGGACTGGGGTCCTGATGGTCCCCCTTTTTTGGGACGAATGACGAACCCAAAATCAACTCCCAAATCAGGCAGGGGATATGCAGGGGATATTTTTGGATCTGAAGTGGTCCCGTTCTTTGTACCAACCGTTGTCGTATCGGAAGACTCCAAATGGAGTGAAACTCCATGTTTTTTCTGCTCGGGAACATCAACAGGCCATCATTTCGGGGGATGGAGTGTTCCCGCAGATTTTCGAGCTATTTCCAGTGCTTTCTTTGAAAATTGTTTTTTTATTACCTCAATCCTATGGTTCTTTATGTGGTCCATCATTATTCCTATTCAAATGGCCACAGCCATGTGGGTAGGGGACAGCACTGACCCAGATGGGCCATGGGCCCAGGGGCCCAGGGACATCTCCGACGGCTTGAGGCCGACGAAGAGGCCGGGAGCAGTGCCAGGAATCAGCACAGCTCAGCCAGGGAGGAGCCACAGTGCCACAGTCAGTGGAGTCATTGCTTCAATTTAAAAGCCACTGAGGATATAACTATGACATACTATGACAATGTTACAACAAAATCATCCACAATCATGATATTTTTGGTAATTCTGAATTGCACATCAATCGGATTCTGCCCAAAATCCAACAAGTGCACACAAGAGCAGCAGTCCTCCCGTGAGAGCATCGCCTGCGGAGCCGAAGTCGAGCTGAGAGCTGAAGCAAGGTGCAAAAAGGATGCCTTGGAGACGAAAACAGCTGGATGATTGGGGTGAGTACAACTTCATTTTTTTTTACCATATTGTACTGACATAATATATATATACATACGTGTATATATATATAATATATGATATATATTAATATTATATATATAAGATAAAAATACATGTTATATATATAATATACACGTTGTAGTACATGGAGATATTGTATATTCATCTAACCATATACATTTTTCTTTTGTTGCGCTAAGATCGGCGATGCGACCACTTCCGCCTCTGAGGCGACCCGCAGAGACGCCCGAGCCACGGCTGTCCACAGAAAGTCGATGTTTACGTCATGTTTTGAGGGAAAAAATGAGAAAAACCACAGAGAAACCAGCGGTTGGGATGGTAGATCTATGATAAATATGGTGAATGCGTTGTGTTGTTTTTTTTTGAAGAGTTAAACATGTTTTTTTTTACATGGGGGATTCATAATAGAAGGGGATTCATAGAAAAATAGAAGGAACCTTGATAAAGCTGTTAAGACTGTCGGTTCCCCAAGATGGGGGCCGAAGGATTGGAGCTGCCCGGAGGTTTCAAACCAGCGTGGTCAAGTCATAGGTTCAACATCTGATTTACCCATAAACAATGGTGATTTTCCATGCTATGTTAAATTACCAGAGGGTATCCAAATTCCAATGGATTGTAATCATGTTTTCCTGCGAAAACGGACAGTCATCGGAGTAGCAAAAAAAGAAAAGGACATTCCTCGGCCAGCAGTTTCTCAGATGCATCCGCTACGATCTCGGCTCTCGAGGTCGTCGTCGAGCTTTGCCAAGTTTGTTTTTCAAAGCCTTAAACTGGATGCGTGTTGTGTGCGGACTCTCAGTAGGGTTTATGGGGTTTATGGGGTTTATGACTTAAAGGACTTCGGATTTTTGTGGTATAAAACATCACCTTAAAGGTTTATGACTTTGGGTATACCCCAGGTGATTTTTTTCGGACTCCCTGTCATCGATGATTTTAGGACGGTGACCCTGATTTTTGACCGTGGTAAATCACACTTGGATCTCCTTGGATCTCCTTGGATGTCACAACTCGACTGTCATGAAATGGGCCTAGCAAGTGCATCCAAGTGCATCCAAGTGCTGCAATGATACCCAACAAAATCAGCCAAAAAAATAACCCAACAGCCCTGTGCCACTCATGGGCTTCACGACTTCGCCAGGCTCCAGATTCCAGTCACAAAGCGATCTCAGTGCTTTGAGCAGCCTCCAAAGGAGACCTGCTTCCGGATAGACTTGGCAACTTGGCGACTTGGCGACGTGAAAATCGGCCAAAGATCTGAGGGTTTTTCACCGATTTTCGGTTGGTGCTTGACAGCCAGATTTGGTTTGCAGTTTAGCCTGGATCTATTTTTTTTTCATCCGGTCTGTGGCAACTTGTTTCAGTTGGTTGCTGGGCTATGCTGGGCTTACACGCCAAAGTCAGGGAGTTTCCAGCTAGAAAAGTGATGAATGATGAACAGTGGATCATTTTTGATACTGATAGAATTTTGCCGAGTTTTCACAAGTCTTCGCAGCTGCAGATGATCAAAGCACAAGACTACATTTTTTTTCAGTGGCCAAAAAATATAGCTTGATTCCTAACGGTTTCCTTGACAGCCCCGGAACTTTGCCAAGTGGCTCTATTCGTCCTTGAAGAGATGGAAGTCTCAAGCAACGGCGGAGCAACACAACTTTGACCACTCCCTGGTGTAACACGCCCCGTTGGCGTCATGCAGTGCTGTCGTTCGTGAGCCCCAGAATCTGAGTTGAACACGGAGAGGTCAAGCATTCGTGATTTGTATATGGTATAATAGTCATCCCACTGCGTCAAAATTGAAATTTGTCATTTCCAAGAACAAGTGACAGTCTGTATTGGTCTGTATACCCAGCTGAACATGGGTAACATACAAGATCATTTGACTACGTTGTGTGACAACCCCCCCAATTGTTTTGTGGGGTAAATCCCCACAAGATCCCATTTTTGGCGTCCAGTTTCAACAAAATTGCTGGGTTCACCAGAACCATCCCAGTGCAAAACATCATCCCAGAGGTATAAATGGGGATGGGTTTTGACAACCCTGTAGCCCTGGTTTTGCCATCAAAATAGCTGGGATTTATGGACGTTCATCCCCTAAGAAAATGTATCTACAGGATTTACTTTCGCCAGTGATCAGAAGGGCATATACCCAACATATACCTAACAACAAACCACTATTGGGAATGGTTTATTACTCGGTTCATCACGTCAAGTCACTTTGGATGAAGTCCAGCACACCTAAGGCGCATTCCATGTCGCGGGGGCAAGCCCACCAGGGAAGCTGTTGCTGAGACAGGCGTCAGACAGAGCCGTGTTGCACAGACGTTTCTGGCAGCACGACAGGGTGAATTATAGCTTGCCAAGAGCCGACATTTCTTCAAGCTCAAGAAATACCACATGGGTTTGTGCAAAAATGGGGATACCCATAAACATCTTCAATAGTAGTTCTAATGGGGAAAACCATGTGGACCCGTTTTCAGGTACACCCATATTGCAATGAGAATCTAAGATGTTCCTTCAAATACTTGTATTTATCTTCTACTCTGCTTCCCCTTGTGTCGATAGCTCTGGCTTTTTTAGTAAGATTCGGGGGTCAGGAGAAGCAGCACAAAACATACTGCCACCACTGCAGAACGTTGGGCAAGGACAGTCAACCATTGCAACAATGCCAATAGATGCCAGTAGTAGCTGACAATAGACAGATCAAGCCAATGTTCAGATGGCATTCATATTTTCTTGCAAAGAGCAAGGGGAAGATAGGTGGTACTTGTACTTGAATGAGAAACAGCAGTCATGAGATTGATACCAGACACAGCATCCATTTTTTCCCTGTACACCAGCAATCATCCTCTTTGACTTGTAGCTATTGAATTGAGAGCCTCTCTTTTGGCCATGAGGGGACTGAGTCCGGATCATGGACTCGTCAACTTCGTTCCGGCGCTTCCGCAGAAGAGTCTGAACCTTTTTTCCATGTTGCATCTTCGTGAGGTGCAGGCCGTCAAGAAGCGGCGGCACTTGCAAAGGAATACGGCATGGCTTCACCGTTACGAGCTGAAAGCAACCTTTTGCGGTCGCCTGGGTTTTCGAAAGGCCAATCCAGAAATGGAGAATCTACCGGGGGGATGGCTTAAATTAACTTGGCCCCTTTTTTAGAGCCAAAAAAAGGCCAGACCTCCAACAAAAACCATGGCATAAAAACGGAATTTCCCAAGCAGTTTTCCCTGATTTTTCCAAGGTCATCAAGGTTGTGTCAACACGATTCATTGGTGTCAAGACATGAGCGACACTTTGGTCAGCGGCAGCGACGACATGTTGGTGAAGCTCTGGCGTTACGTCGCACCAGCGGAGTCAGAGACCTGGCGGAGTCAAGTAACGACGGGCGACGGTGACGCCACGGTGACGGTGATGTTTCAAGCCGTGGGCTTGATCCAATGTGAACGATGTGAACGGAAGATTTAAAAGCCCTTGGAAATATGTATCATTATTGGATATTATAGGGATTATATAGGACTTTATAGGGACAATATATGGGAAACGCTATTTATTTGATTTTAGACCCGCCATTTTATGGGAAAGAAATGGGATTGTGGGGGCACTTCCCGATGAAACCTCTAATATGTGGGCCTAGAAAAACATGTTTTCCATATTCCCTTATACCGCTCATGCGAATTGATGATGTTCTTTTCAGACATTGAGGATTTACCTCCAATATACCATGGCAATTTTCGTACGGACCGCGACGTCTTTTCAACGAAATCGTTGGGGGGTTGTGGATGAGTTGATATCCCTGATGGCTACCCCCAAATCCCATGGTTCATTCGATTTTTTCCCTATGAGCCATGGCGGCTCCGGAGGATGTACCATGATATACCTCATTTTCAGACACACCAAAAAATGGTCATTCCCCAGTTGGGACCATTTTTTCAGCAGCGCAGTAAGGAGATCAAGCCCATTTTGTCCTTGTCGACAGTTCACAGACATAACATTTTCGACGCTCATCTCACAGGGCGACAGGTTGTTTCCTGCGGTGCTGATGGATTTGTTTGCAGGACATATCTTGATGCCAGTTGGGCATCCGAACGACTCTTCACACCGAACGTAGAAACTACGCAGAGTTTGGCCTTTAAGATGGACTTTCTTCCGCAGAGTCAGGTTTTTCTGGTGACCTTTGGGGATGGCTTTGTGCGGCAATTTGACCTGCGAGTGGCGACGCAGCTTGCTGCAGTGAACTGCGATGATGTGGGGCTCGTGGGGCTCGGTGTCGAGCCTCGTGATGGACACACCTTGGCTCTTGGAGGAAATGATCCGTTTCTGCGGATCTATGATCTCCGAAAGCTGTCCTTCCATCAGGAAAGCAACCTGATGAACATGATCACGACACCAGTGGTCTCCTTACATTCCACTGCTGAGATGATTCGGAAGCATAAGAAGATCAGCTCTTTTTCACGATTCTTTTCTGGCCATTCCGATGTGTGTATCTCAGGAGTTTGCTGGGATAGCTGTGGACGACTTTTAGCGAATTATCGGGGCGGGGACATCGAGCTCTTTGACTTTCGAAGTGACCCGGTACCGGAAGGTGATGCACCGGAAGCTACGCCATGGATGGATCTATCTGACAGCAGCTTGCCAACCAGCACAACCAGCCGAGTGTATCTGAATTCCATCCGGTCTTACAAGGGCCGCATCAATGAACAAACTTGTGCCAAGGAGGTTCGATTCCTTTGCCAAGGTGCAGCAGTTGCTTCGGGCGGCGACTGCGGTCATTTCTACATTTGGGCCACGGAATCCACGGTTCCTTGATCCCAAATCTAAGACTTTTGGTGAATATAGGTCAATATAATATAGTACACACACACATATATATATATATACATAATATAAATATCATCTGTATATATATATATGTATGTATGTCTAGAATGAAATAGATCAACTGAAGATTAAAATCCGGTATCCCCGAAAAACTTCGAAGGACCCCCAATCGATTGGATAAAGCCTGACAATCTCCCGAACTTGGATACCCTCCAGCATGTCATCAAAAGTGGCTAGCAGGTGAATTGTCCAGCAAACCATGTTTGATTAGCAGGGGGTAACTATCAAATTATAGTTGGTGATGTATATCCCCATCATCTCCCACTATCATCCCCATATCATTTGTTGGTCAAAACCCTATGGTCGATGGTGAAAACACCATGAATAGCAAAAACGATGTTTTACAATAAATATTCCCAACAACAATGTCTGCTAAAGTGATCTCTTCCATTTTTTTTAAAAACTAAGCAGTGGCAACGGAGAAACCTCCCAGGAGTTGCTACGGAAGTTGCCGGCGGATCGCTGCGTGGTGAACTCCGTGGCAGCTCATCCCAGTCTGCCACTGGTGGCCACCGCGGGCATCGATGCCAACATCAAGGCATGGGATGTGGACGTGGCCACGGCCGAGAACTTTTCCCGTCGCCCGGTGAGCGCTGGGGAGATTTTCGAAACATTGGGGAGTTTTTGGAGGAGGGTAGTAGACCAGCCTTGGAATCATGTATTAGATTAGATACATTATATATATACACATAATTATATTGAATATATAAATAACTACTGCATGATATCTTGGGGAATTATCAAAAAATATCATCAATTTTACGGGAATCCCGTAGACTTCGCCAAGCATTCGAACTGGACTTCGCTCAGGAGTCGCTGGTGAGGCGGAATTGGCTGAATCCAGAGAGTTGGAAGAGGAAGGCGGATGGGAAACGAATGGATACCACGCTGGTGATTCTTGATGCGAAGCCATGGCCATAGAAAATATATGATAGCGAAATCGACCTATTCTTATGGGTAATTTTCCATGCTTAAACGACGGGGCATGTGGACCTCAGATTTTTGAGAATCGATGTGTTGGAAACATGGAAAGGTGACAGAAAGGCCGTGCTTTGCCGAAGCATTTGCCGAAGCAGTTAGTAATGTTAGTAAAGCAATGCCACAAACCAGCCAAAATTTTGATGGTTTAAACATTCATGATAAAATCGGGGATGGTGTACTACTTTACTGTTGCTTTACTAATATGGCACTTTTTGCCGGTCCTCAACCAGGCAACGCTTTGATGCGCCAGGGTGCATGGGTTGAAGCCATTGGTTTCTTCGATGCCGCCCTGAATCTGCTTCGAAACAACGCCTCTCGCCCTGAGCTCAACGAGAGGCAAAGGAGCTGCTGGATGCACATGGCCTTCTGCCATTTGAACCTGGAAGAATATCAAGCTGCCATTCAGTACCTGGACTTTTTTGAAGTATTTTTGATGGTCTATACCACTTTTTTGGTAAAATGGTGGGTTATTTTTTGGGTTTTCTACATTATGCTACAATATACTACATTAGTTCATGATTTGTTGAAACGATTTTCCCTCGGTTAATCTACTGGTTTTCTTTTGTGCGAACCCAAGACTTGAAACGTCTTTGTTTTGTGCGAAGGTGGTGTGGGTTGAACCGGTGGCACTGGTGGAAACTGCCACAATGTTTCACTAAGGTCCATATCGATCTTCTTCATATCATGGGTTAAGGCCAATCGTATGAATTCATATGATATTTGAGGGGATGAAGGGACGGATATCGCCAACTCAAGTGAAAACTAGAGTTCCAGAGTTTCAACCCACAGGGTCTGATTCATGGCAATGATTTCGTTCATCTATTTATTTTAAGCTGTTTATATAGATGCTTCAACCAATTACAGCTGCTTTTCAATCCATTCACAACTGCTTCAATCACTCTAACGGCATTTCCAATTTGTTTAAAGCCCATTTGTAGATGTTCAAGACCATGAAAAACCCTATTTTTCAAGCAGATTTTCCCATCAAAATAGGTGCGATTTCTCGCAGGTGCTGCAGCACGGCCCCTCTGCCGCGGCGCTGCTGCGGCGCGCCCGCGCGCAGCTGGCGCTGCGCGAAACGGCGGAGGCGGCTGCGGATCTGGAGGCAGCGGAGGAGTTGGAGCCGGAGAACGCGGAGCAGCTGGGTGCAGCAACGGGCCATGGAAAATCCGTGGATGTTAGTTATGTTAGTTACCAATTCAAGCAACTGGGACACCACCATGTAGTTGTGGAAGTTGGTTTCCCATACCCTCCGGTGAGTTGTTACATATTGGAAATTGCCATTTACTTCGTTGATTTATCCATGAAAAGTGGGGATTTTCCATAGCAAACTGTTAGTTTACCAGAGGGTAATAAATAGAATGGTGTATATCATTAGTGGGGTATTCCCCAAATAGTGATCATCTTCAAATAACTCCAATAACTATGGTTTATTTGGGATATCTATACTATTCATGGGGTGAAACGAAAAACCAAAGGGCACATGACTGGGTCATGTCAAGCCTGGATGAATCATGGTGAGTTCACAGTTCAGTCGTGATATGGATGGATATGGAGGATTAAAAAACAATGGAACATCGATCCACTCATTTAATGTTTAATGGTTAATACTGGTTAATAATGGTTAATAATGGTTAATGATTGTTAATAATGGTTAATAATGGTTACTACTGGTTAATACTGGTTGGTAGTGGTTAATAATGGTTAATAATGGTTAATAATGGTTAATTAATGTTTAATGATTTAACATAGTATGTATCTGGAATGACATCGCAACCTCAGTAAAAAACCGTACAAGAATATATAAGCTTTCAGCGTGGGGCAAGTGCATTTCTTTGTCATGGCAAGCTTTTGATTGGCGTCCGCTGTGGCACATCTGGGCCCAAGCTCTCCACTGTTGCGTGTGCAAGATACGGCAGCTGGATTTCTTTTCAACCGCTTCTCCTAATACTCTTTCCATGGTGCCCTTTGCCGCTGTCATTGTGGTGGTTCCCCAGGACCTGTTGAGTCGCACGGAGACAAGTTAGACAACTGCATACACATGTTCACAGCGCATACACGTGCTCACACACATATGATCATGTTATAAATTTGTAAAGTTACTTATATATTTATTTCACTGAGAAATGATATCTAGTTATGTAATTTATTTAGATATTTGCGTGCGTGCGTGTGTGTGTGTGGACCATCTGAATAGATGCAAAACTTCTTTCCGTTGTTTTCGGTGCACTACTTGTTTGGTTTGACTCTTCATGATTTTTTTTTTCAATTTCCACGCAGGGGGACACAGCATTTCACTGGGACTGTGTCCAACGAAGCTACCAGTGAAATGGGATATCCGGCTTGGCCAGCTGGACGTACCTGCACTAATTTCCATTTTCGTCAATGGCAACCGGCTAAGCCAAGTACCGGCATGTCGTTTCCAATTTTTCTCGTTCTTAATCACTGTACGGTTTTCGCAATCTGAATTACTGCTGACCTCGTCAGATGGAACAGTTGCATCTAGCAAGGACGTAGAAAGAATTTTTCTTCACTGTTTCTCACGCCTAGTCATCCACTTTCTCCTGTCAGGTTTAATTGAAGTGTTTGTGCACGTGCGATGCATTCCACATCAGTAATTCGATAAGATGTTTCTGAGCAAGTGTGTCACTCATACCGTTGTCCGACAAGGTGGTATGAGCCCTTCGGGGAAAGCCTTTCTAGGCTAAAAATTGACGGTAAAACGATGTCTGAATTTACACTTTTGAATTAGTAATTCGTCTAAGTAGAGTGAACTGCTGGCCATTTTTTCATTGTTTCACACGTCGGTCGAGTGATTGTTGAAACTGCTGGCTGCTGTGCCTGGCACCACCTTTCTTTTCTACCGTTATGCATAGCTGGAAGCCGCGACAACAACCTCCTTTTCCAGTGAAGCTCAAGCGCATTCCCGCAGCCATTTTGACATGAACAGGTAACAGGACATGCTTTACAGGTGTGGTCACTTCTTTTTGGTTTCTCGGTGAGGTTCAATTGTGCACGGAATTCATCTGAACACTGATAGCCGTCGATAGGGTTGACGTGAATGCAGGCCGTAGAGCCTAACGAGGGGAAACTTGCACGATAATGTGGAAGCATGATGTCATAAACTAGTTCCCCATGGGTCCCTATTTCATGTGTTCTTGCGTTCTCCTTTCTCCAGGTAGGTTTGGCCCGTTGCGTGCTGAGGTTGTTGTTGGTTTTCGCCGTGTCAGGTTGGTTCAGGCGCTTCTGTCTTCCCCCTCCTCCGCTGGTCTTGTTCCGTTTTCCGTCGGCCTCCGCTTTTCTTTTCCCTTGCCTTTCCAGGGTTGCCCGTTTTGGGCTAGGTTTCATGTGTTGGTGTTTGCTCTTTCCCTCTTCTGTTGCGTTCCCCTCTTTGCGTCCTGGTTAAGTATCTTTCATCTCATTGTCATCTTCACCTCATTTTCATTTCCCTTCCTCTTCATTTTCATCTCATTGTCGGGACCTTAATTTCCCACCCTCCTGCGGGAGGGTGTGTGTGTGGACCATCTGAATAGATGTAAAACTTCTTTCCGTTGTTTTCGGTGCACTACTTGTTTGGTTTGACTCTTCATGTTTTTTTCCAATTTCCACGCAGGGGGACACAGCATTTCACTGGGACTGTGTCCAACGAAGCTACCAGTGAAATGGGATATCCGGCTTGGCCAGCTGGACGTACCTGCGCTAATTTCCATTTTCGTCAATGGCAACCGGCTAAGCCAAGTACCGGCATGTCGTTTCCAATTTTTCTCGTTCTTAATCACTGTACGGTTTTCGCAATCTGAATTACTGCTGACCTCGTCAGATGGAACAGTTGCATCTAGCAAGGACGTAGAAAGAATTCTTCTTCACTGTTTCTCACGCCTAGTCATCCACTTTCTCCTGTCAGGTTTAATTGAAGTGTTTGTGCACGTGCGATGCATTCCACATCAGTAATTCGATAAGATGTTTCTGAGCAAGTGTGTGGGGGTGTGGGGGTGCTGCTTGTGTGAATCATTTGTGACTGTTCCTGTGTGCCCTGCTTGCAGGTTCCTGTGCCGAAGCGCGCAGCACCAAAGCGCCGTTTTCGGCCGGTGCCGACCCGGGCATTCTTCTTTGATGTGCGCGAGAAGGACTTGGGATAAAACACCTGTAGTCAAGGGATTACACTCCGGACGTCACTGCCGCTACTTAGTCATTTTGCAGGAGGCCTCTGGTGGATTGGACCGCGCTGCACGACGATGGCGGAACGCCCGCAAGCGGGCGGCTGCGAAGGCGGGCCAACCTGGCGTGAAGGGTTCGGTGGGCTGTGGTGGCACCCGCCGTTGCTATGGTTCTTTGCTGGATACTTGTGGCAGGCGGCGAAGTTCCGTTTGCAGCCGCCTTCTGCGCTCAATCAGGCGGTTGCCGCTGCAGCCTCAGCAACGTTGATTTTGTTCCATCTGTATAATTAGCCGAAAGTTAGGTCAAAGCGCCTGCTGCAAACGCAGTGCCTGTGTCTCTCCCCGGCCCGGGATGTGTTGCGGCCTTACAATCCTCTAGCGCGCTAGCGTTGCGATTCCGTGCCTGTTCACATCACTGCACACGCACGGCGTGCGGGACCAGGCAAGAAAGGCGGATGGTGCCTTCATGCGGGCCCATGCCCGCCAAGGTGCCAGCAGCGCCGCGTGTATCATTTTTGATTTTAATGTTCCCTTCGGAAGCTTTCCTATGCCAGGCCTAGCCAAGCGGTGCAAGGACGACCCGACATTTGGTCGCCGCCCGCCCACCCTTGCCCAGTGGGTGGGAGCTGGCCAGGCCGGTTTGGGCTGCCTCGGTTTTATAAATATCGCGTTATAAATTTAACTTGGCTTTCCGATTGACAGCGTTTGCACGCGGCAAGGCCTGGCATGCGGGGGGCCCGAATCGGCCAGGAGCCCAGGCATTGTCAATATTCAACTTGTCCACGGCAACTGACATGTGGTTGTATTGCTGCATCTTGACACCCTGCCACAAAGGCTGTCCGATTTCCTCTCGCGGAAGGCGGGCGACAGGAATGAAAGGCAGTAGCGCGTGTTGAGTTATATTTATGCACCTGTTTATCTTCTTAGATTCTGTCGCCCTCGCGCCTCAGTCTTGCAGGAAAAGAATCAAAAAGCGCACGCTGCCAACGGCAACACAGCGTCAGCCTCAGCAAGTACTGAATATAGATAGCTTCTACAAGGGGCTTTGCAGCATGTTGCTCCCATCCGGTTCCATTGCTTGCGCCGGTTCTTCCAATTGCCAGGCGCGTCAGCCGTGCAGCTTCCTCTCGCGAAAGGCCAGCGCACGTGCCACGCGCACGCCTGGAATTCGTGGGATTTCAGCCACTTTATTGGGATACCCTCTGGTAAACTAGCAGTTTGATATTGAACATGGCCATTTATAGTGAGTTTTCCCATTAAATAGTGATTTTCCATGATTTTCCATAGTTATGTTAGTTTGCCAGAGGCTATTGATATTTTAAGAATCAACGACGGCGATATTGGTGGGTGTGGTGGGCAAAATCATAGCGTTTTTCAACACCATGAATTTTCCAGTTTTTGGTGGGGAAAAAAATGTACACCAATCCAATTGACGGTCTGGTCATGTCTGGTCAATGGTTCATGAATGTCAGGGTTGGTCCGACCATTAAAAAAAGCGTAGATACTGCACAAATCCCCAAAGTGAAAATTATGGATGAAGAAACTCGGCTTTGTGTCATGGTTTGTTACTACACGTAGATTGGATAGTAAGACACAATGATGATCAACCATGGGATGAGAAGAGGTAACAATTTTTATTCTCAGACAAAGTCACGCGGTACATCCGAGACCGCAAAGCATCCCAAATATCCCTGATTTACCGGGAATGGATAGAAATGGTTTTTTTGAACCATCCCTAGGAAGTTTCTGGTTAGGTTTGCTCCCACCAATACCTTGGGCCGACTTCGGGGTGCACGCAGTCACGCAGATGTTTGTGTCCTGCACATTTGAGGATCCCAAAGTTGCGCTCCAGTCTCAAAAAGTTGAAGAAACGGCAGTCAAAGGAGTCTAAGTCCAATGCGAAATCAGACGGATGAGAAGCACAGCTTCGGAGCAGAGAACTCCAACGCAGAATTGCCGGCCAAAGAAGGGCATTGCAGCGATTCGTTGAAGTTTGGCGCAAACTTGATGCCTTTGTTGCTCACCAAACAGTATATAAGATTTTCTCGAGAATGCAGGCATATGTTGCGGTGGAAACTTTAGACCAAAAACTGCAGTACTTTAGTAAGAAGACTCCGGGTGATTGTCTACTATCAAGCGACTTTCCAACATGTTGCAGCAACAGTCTACTATCATACCATATCAAAGCTCTTATTGAGACAATAGAGGAGTTGCAACAGTATTTTACATCATTGATTGTCCAGTGAAGTCAGTCTGTGATCTCTGTTTGCAAGAAGGGTTTGGATCACGATCATGCGAAACAACGACCGCCGGCTCCCTGTGCTTTCCATAACATGGGCGGCTTTACGGACCAACAGATGCAGTGATATGCAATGATATGCAGTGATATGCAGTTTACTGTGTATTCAGGATGCCTGTTCTCAATAGAATCAATAGAAACCAAAGGAGTTTGACGGTTTGACCTTGCTTTGGTGAAACATGCACATTGCGAGCAGAACTTCAACTCAGATTTGAGCAGCAAACATGGCCCTCGGATGTCTGTTTTGCAGAAAAGCTGCACAAAAACAGAAACGAGAACGCTGTTTCGCTGAATTTTAAGCTGGCCAAAGCAAAACAAGTCGCAGACATCCTTGCGTGCTTTGGACATAGAGATGGATTAACACCTACAATGGTACTCGTACAATCTTTGAAGATAAAATGATAGACCTTAATGTGCCGCGACATATTTCGACCCAAATCAAAATTCATGTCAGTTTCGCTGCCCTCTACTGGGGGGAGCATCCCAGTTTGTAAGTGGATAACATGCCCTTCGGTAATCAACCATGGTAATGGAAAATACTGTACCCCATAAACATCTATAAACTATCAATGCAGGTTTCATGGGAAAATCATTTATAAATGGGGCATTTTCAATTGCCATGTTTCATTGCCACAGAGGCTATATGGACTATCATGGAATATGCACCATTTTCTACAGGATGGTGCCCCCCAGTTATAAGTGGGTTTATAAACCCCATTAACTATAGTTATATCTGCCATAAACCATAGTTATGGGACTTATAAACCAACTTAGCTAACTATGGGGCACCACCGTGTATGCGGTAAAAAAGTAAACACCACTTACTCTACGGTGGGCCGCAGCTTGGCGCAGGGGCGGTGGCGATCCTTCATTCGTGAGGTTGGGTGTGGTAGGTGTGTTGGCACGTCTGTGTGTCTTTAAAAATGGCCATTGAGCATGAACGATGATGATTAACCATGGGACGGAATGGGGGTTAGCCTGTTCTCAATCCAAATCTCACAGCCTGGTGTTAAAGTGGATTGCGGAATTCAGTGATAAACTATAGGACCACGCTGACTACACAAAAGGATTCTGCGCTAGCACCAGAGGGAAATCTCGCGGGAAGGAGTTTTGATGTCGTTGAAAATGTCAATAGATGGGGAATGTCCCAACGGCAAATCCGCATCTTCTTTTTGGTGTATTCCAATATCATATTGTTAGTGAGTTATAGTATCCAATTAGACCTCCACATATATATATATATGTATACACACATACACAAACATATACATACACATATGCAGAAACATATAGACATATATATATATATATACATATAATTACATGCATGTCATTCAAGTTTTTTGCAATCACAGAAAAAGGTGGTTCTTTGAACGGCGGAACTTGTTCGGCCATCTGACACCTTGTGAAGGCTGACCCCATGGGAGCTGTGACTGCCTTCCGCAGCTGCGAGGCTGGTAAAGGTGGTATAAGACTATGGGGGTTTCCATAGTCGTGGGGGATCCCCAATAGCTGGTTGGTTTATGATGGACTGTGGGAGTGCAACTTTTCCGAAAATATCCCCATCTTTTTAGGTAGTAGTTTATATATATATATGTATATATACCGACACCCGCTGATTGTATCAAGGGTTAACAATATAGATGTTAGTAATAATGTTAGTAATAAAGGTATTGTCAATGGTATAAATATACCCTATTATGTTGACAATAGTATGTTACTATCATCTTTTATTAGTAATATTACGGCATAAAATAACATGCTATAGATGTGAAACTCTGGTACACCACGGCAACATCCTGGGAAGTTCACGCGGCTGTGAAAATATCAATGTTTGTTATAGCAATGTAGATGACTTATACCAACTATTAATTGTTATACTGTTTTTTTAAACATGATCCCAGTCACTAATGGAAAAACATGATGGAGTTTTTATAATGAAGTTTTTGAGATTTTGTATTTACAAACGTAGTGTACCTCATAATCATTGTTCCAGTATGAAATGGTTCCTTATTACTACACAATCCCAATGATAGATGGTATATACAAAGTCAACAGACTTCTTTTTGACCACTGTCAAATCCTAATATGTAATATTGATCCCGTGCCTACTAAAATATACGGTTTCCGAGGGATGTTTAATTTGAATGGAATGAACGCCCTCTTCGGTCGATTTTACAACTATCCAGTGGTTAGGGGGGAGCTAACGAGTTAGGGATATCCATATTCCGAACAAAAATGGGGAGCCAAGGAGCTACTAAGAGTTTCCCAACCATTTGATAGATAATCTCTATGATTTTTTCATGATTTTTCAATTTCTACGTTGATAAATATTGATATACATATCATTATTCAAGTGTAGTTGATACATCACTTCACTAATCCCTTCCCCTAATATGAAACACCCCCTAATTGAAACCATGGTTTAGTAGGGAATTTCCACATAATTGGTACCATTGAAGGGGTGTTAACTATCAGGGGGATGGGATTATTAGTCATTACAACCCAATTGGATGATTGCAATCCCTATGATCATCCCATTTTTCAGTGATGGCCAGGCCGCTGGTGCGCCGGCGAGAGCGTGTCAACAAGGAGTTTATTTGATGAGGCCAGGGTTTCAGGGGGTGAATTGGATGAAGGCCGAATCAAATAATTGGTATAATCATATATGTTTTCCTTTGAGGTTCCAAAAGCTACGATTTTTACTTATTAATTGGTATAACTATGAAGGTTTATGATAACTATTGATAACTCATAGGTATTTTGTCAGTGATTCAACTAACAATCTGCTGTATCTGGATGATTTATGGTTAGGATTCGGGGAATCCTCCCGCTGTTTTGGCTGCAAGTTTCAGGTGAGTGAAATATGGGTCAATTACCCAGATTGGATGAAGGGAAACCTTACAAAATTCAGATGGATCGATTTTGTGAGAAGAATCTATGGTTGAAACTATGTTTTTTTCTTTCAAATAGAGTTTTTTTTCCTGTAAATTTGTCCCTTCAACCAGTCTGGGGATACAGGTCCACACATCTTAGAATTGGAAGACTCACTGTACATATCTTCACATGAGGCCATTCTATTTGGGGTAAATAAACACCATAGTTTCAACCCTAAATGGTTCCCTAAAAATTCAATCCATTGACACTGGCTCGAATCGAATCTTGGGCAATTTGGATCTGGAGGTTTTCAGCAGATGTTTCCGGGATGATCCGTCATGAATTACCCGGCCTGGTCATTTAACAGTTTGCCATGGTATAGATGGCCCTAATCGAAATAGATGGTTTACCGTTCTTAAGAATGGTTCATCTTTCCATGGCAAACCGTTAAGTAACCAGATGAATTATCTTCAAGGGTTGGACCATGCTTCCAGCTCCAGTGGCACCTGAGGCGAGAGTTGTTGAGATGGGCCAAAGCTGGAGCTCTCAGATGGGTTGACATCCCATCGCAGCCCCGACTACGGGTAGTCCTAGATTTGCTGAAGATTTCTATATTTTCTCAATTATGGGAAATCCTAGTCGGGGAATCCATAGCTGGTTGGTGGTTTGGAACATTTGGATTATTTTTCCATTCAGTTGGGAAAGTCATCATCCCAACTGACGAGCATATTTTTCAGAGGGATAGGTATACCACCAACCAGTAATAGTATTGTGTGTTTTTTTGTGGGGGGGTTGCTTACTCAAATCCATGTGGTAGTTTGAGGACTCCTTGACATATAAATGGTAGTTCCAGCTCATCCTTTGAGACACCTAAATCCCATGGTTCTCATGGTTTATCATCATATTTCCAGATTAGGGCTGTACACTGCATTTGGAGACAAACTCATACATCCCAATTTTTGTTGGTTATTCCTCAATATATCCCCATGAACTGGTTGGTTTACATTTGCATATGCAATATTATATATTATCATGCATATACATATACATGTGCACAGAATAGTCCTTCATTCAGATTACTATTTTACTGATTTTCGAAGGTTGAACTTTTGATGGTTGAATCCGCATCAAAATGCTTGGTATCCTCATTTCCACCCAAATTACAAGTCAACCAGCTCTTGAAGGTTGAATCCAGGCACCATTTTTGGACCATGAAATCTGATGAACTCCTCATTTGACCTGTGAATCATGGTGTTTTGTTCGTCCCAAAAAGCCCTGAGGCGCCCTGGCGAAGTCCGACGGCGAAGGAACGGGTGAGGCATTTGGATGAAGCCCGAGGCGTGGCGCTCTGTGCGGATCTCTGGGAGATGTGGCGTCCTCGGCTGGGGCTGGGACTGAAGAGCCAGGTTTTTGGGGTGCGAAAATGCTGATTTTGAGATTTGCATGAGATGTTGAGAAGGACTTTATTATGATAAGGAACCATCATATGGTAAGGAACCATTACTTTATTATGATAAGGATTTTATATATTATTATTATATTTTATTATGATAAGGAAGCATCAGGATCACCATTATAAACTTTGAGATTTTGATAAGGATGGGATAAATCATCACCGAGATCCTTTTTCCATTGGTTGGTTTATGAGAAAAAGAGCAGTAGCCCGCCACTGAACAACCAATAGGTAAAGGATAGTAAGAGGACAAATTATTGGGCATACCAAACCCACCTCTATATTTTTTCCGACAGCTTAACAAAATACTGGCTCAAGTTGGGTTGTCTGAAAAGGATGGATTTCACCATTTGATTTCTGGACTTTACACCATCAAAGCTAGGGAGGTTTTATCGATTTCTCCCAAATTGTTGCTATTCAATCAGGTGATGTTTTCAACTATTGGGTGGACGATGGATTGGTACCAGCCTTTTACCCATAGCCACACGTTTTTTGATGGAGAGGATCTTGGGTGATTTTTGCTCAAACTTGGGCTAGAACCTTTTCACCACTGGTTCTATGAAAAATGACTCATGAATTGGTGAAAACTTCGTCTCCCCCATGACTTAGGAAACCAAAATCCCTAAATATTCTTTTCCATGCAATGTACTGGGAGAGTTTCATCGTCCGTTATGACAATCCCGTTCTTCGCCAACCAGTATAATGGAATGACATTTCGGGTCTCGAACACTGCTCACCCGGCAAATTGGATTTTCGCCAACCCAAATGAACCTGCCGCTGCTGGACACGGAACTTCAATCTGCAGGAAAACGTTGAATGCTGATGCCATGCGGGTGGCAGTTTCCCCTAAGCAGTTTCTGCGTACCGGTAATTAGTAGCATTTCATACAACTCACGCTCCAGACTATGGAATGGGTATGGTATGAGTAACCCAAGTTGTATCAATGACCATGTATCAATGAGGGGTTATCCCGAATTGGTTTTGGCAACCAGGCTATGCCCATCCTTTTTCCTTAGCAATGTATTGTTGGTCAAATCATGTTGCACCCCCTATAATCCCATCTGATACATCACTTTTATGCATTTTAAAACCCAACAAAGAACACACACACACAGTCTCTATTGAAAGGAAGTTTAGAAGTCAAACTTTTTATGGACAGATGCAGCAACAGTAAAGGGTAGAGTCAGAGAAGAGGAAAGTAGAAAGAAGAGAAAGGTGCGCCAAAAAGGTAGAAAGTCGCGAAACGCTGTGTTTTTCCAATGTTTTGCGGTTCCGGAGGGTCGAAAAAGTAAGTAGGCTCGCTAAAGCGGGGGGTGCGGAGCCATCTGGTGGGATGAGCATCCAAAAAGTGCATGCGGCTGTGGCAAGCACATTTCGAAGTCAAAATGCCAAAAACACCCCATGTTTGGGGCACTTTTGCACGTTCAAACGCAACTTTTCATGGCAGGCACAATGGATTCTGCACCTTCACGGCAGTGAACCAAACGTGAGGGTTCTGCAGCACTTTAAAAACGAAGGCAGGTGTGGGACATTTGAAGAGGGTCTGCAAGACAGGCGCGGTACAAGACACATCTCCATCAGACATGTGAGGAAGTCAGGATCATTTGCCACCCATAGATTTCCTATCTTTGAAACGCAGCCCTATATAGTCTCCCTATATAGTCTCCCTATATAGTCTCCCTATATAGTCTCCCTATAAAATAACAATATATAAAAAAACAACAACATAATAATTATCATAAAAATCATAATAATGATAATATTCCCTATATAATAAATATTTTCATATGATAATATTCCCTATATAAATATTCCCTATATAATATAAATATTCCCTATATTATTCCCTATATAATCGCTATATTTTTAGCCCAAAGCTAATCCCTCCTTAAATCCTCCAAGGCACCGGCCCGGGCGTGTCTCCGATCCCGGTGCCTTGGCCGCCCTTGAAACTAGGCCGCCCTTTATCCAGTGGAAAGGAGGGATTTTCCAATGAAAAATGGTGATTTTCCATGATTTTCCATGGTTATGAAGGGGATATTAGTAGAAAAAATCTGGAACATTAGGAAACCAGGAACTAATTAGACATAGTAACTAATGATTAATAACTAATCTTCAATAACTATCTGGTTGGTGGTGACTGGAACATGAATGGATTATGACTTTCCATTGAGTTGGGAATAGTAACCCCAACTGACTTTCGCATATTTTTCAGAGGGATTGAAACCACCAACTAGAAAATGAACATTAGGAAATCTAGAGTGAGACATGAAAGATGGGATTTCTTTGTTACCAACAAAATTTAAACGTGCCCTGGTTGGTTATGAAATAGGGAGTGATACTACCTGGGTTATGGGGCAGGGAAACCTATCATGGGATAGGGGTAGTTTTCATGGCTCAACTGAGCAGTGTCAAAAACCCATTGGTTGTTGAATTTATAATGACTACCAATCTATTGGAATAACTTTAGGTTTGCGAAAACTAAAGTACACGAGGTTACAGTACTATTGGGTTTCTGCTCACTAGTATATACTATCCTATTGAAAAGGGATTATTACAATCGATTATTGGAATAGCTTTGAGCAAACCAGTAGAACCACTTCGCCACCAGGTTTTTACCGCTGCTCAAATGGTGTGGTAAACCCAATCTTTTGAGCCTACGATTTGTGGATTCCCCAAATAGTAGGCTTACTGTTGGGCTTACCACATTACACATATACAATGTGGGGCCCCCCAGTTGTAAGTTGGTTTACAAACCCCATGAATACTATAGTTATTTGCGTACCATAAACCATAGTGAAATTGGAGTTATGTGCACCAACTGAACGCTATCTTGGGGGCCCCACATTGTACCTTTTTATACCTCATACCCTCTGGTAATTTGTTACATAGCTATTGAACATCACCATTTATAGTGAATTTTCCCATGAATACCATGGTGATTGTCCATAGTTATGTAAACGTTTACCAGAGGGTATACCTTTTTTTCAGCAGGATGCTTTTTCATGGCATTCAATGGTCGTAGACTTTGCCATGTCTCCGCTGTCTCCGAGGCCTTTCCTTGGCTCTAGACCGAAGGCTACGCCAGCCCGCACGGCAAGCACTAGGCGCGGAGCTCGTTGAAGCATCAAAAAAATGGTTCAACCAGCAAAAATGGGATTTCAATGGAATTTTAAGGGGATTTGAATTGGATTTCATCAACAACATATGGATTTTACCAATGAATACTGGAGATGGGTTCGTCTTAAACAGATTCAAAAAGGAGATACCTCAAAGTGGGGACTTCAATGGGGGAAATGAAGATTTTTTATCTTCAAGTGCCTTCTCCCCTCTGCTTGGGTGCATGGCTTCCACAGAGTAGGACCATGAAGAGTGCGATCAACACGGAAAAAACATGTTTTGTTTGTTTTTTATTTGTTTGAACATTAGGTACCAGACAAGCAGTCGCCACAAGTCGCCACAACAAAAAGTGAGTACAGGACGTCTGGATGGTGGGAGAGCTGAGTTATCCAGGCAGAGATTTGGTCAGCGTCAGCGTGGTAGTTGACATGGGTTTATCTGAAAAAAAAAGGGGAAGCCTCCAAATCCCATGGTTTAAAAACCTCATTGAGAGCCTCTAGAAATGGCAAATTGAGAGGTTCATACCATTTTCAGAGAAAGTTATCGGATTTTGCTTGGTTCTCGTAATGAAAATGGTGACCTTGAAATCATGATCTTATTTAGATAAGTTGGAACCGAATGACTTCGTCTGGGACGGTTTACCAATGATAAGCAATCCGAAAACATGATAGTCGTGATAGTAGAGTTGATGTTCCATGACCCAATTTCCTCGTGCATATCCATTGAGGATCATTTAGGGTTGTTTCACATTGGGGGATTATATACTGAGAAGTACCCCCCGACATCATCCTGCTCTGTTGTCCACAAAGTTTCACAGTTTCTTGGGGGTTTTCACACCAAGTCGAATAAAGACCCATCTATTAACCCTGACACTTTACAATCCACCATTTTTTAGCAATTGTAACAAGATCCCCATTAACTCGACAAAACTCCCGATGATATCACCATAAATCCTAAACGAATTAGTCTAACTCTCCTGAACCCGCCATGAAATTCCGTTCAATATCTAAAATCATAATTTCTTCGTTTGTTCATAGCCATTGAAAATTTAGCCATTTATAGATTTACCCATTAAACATGTTGATTTTCCATGATTTTTCATAGTTTTTTTGTTAGCTTAGAGGGTAAATCACCTTGATCCCTAGCCCCAAGGGCGTCACCTCCAGGGCCTCCCAAGCCTTAGCCGCCGTGGCGGCGGTGGACTCGGCTCCGGGCCGGGAGATCTGCGAGGAACTCATCGCGGGGACGGAGGAATGTAGGCGCCGCGGACGTGGGACGTGGGGAATTTCCCAACCAATGATCTGGCAGTTTTGCAGCAGTTTTCATGGGAAAAACATGTATATACGTAGGTTTAACCATCAATTTGGTGAGGTTTAACCGTAAACGATAAGGATTTAACCCATGAAGAATGTGGGTAGACTACGGATACCCCCAAATGGCTATTTGAAAAGGGAAACTGATGAGTGAATTTTGGGAACCCCCTATTTTAAGACAAAGCCTAATGGATTACGGTCTTTACAGTTTTCTACGGACTGCTATGGACGCCATGATCCATTTAGTTCCACTATGTCCTACAGGATGGTGCCTTCCAGCTATAAGTTGGTTTATAAACCCCATTAACTAGAGTTATTAAGTTATATATCTACCATAAACCATAGTTGCCACAAAAACATCTCAACTTAGCTATCTTGGGGGCCCCATCCTGCAGAAGTTCTCCGGGTCGAGCGCCATGGGGAGGAGGTCTGGGGTCACTCTTTCAGTGATCGACCCGTTTCAATACAGGTTGAAGCCGCCAACCAAACATCATTAGCTGTGTCAACCATTAGCTATGTAGCATCAGGAAATAGATGATGTAACTTAGATGATGTAATATTTCATACCCAGCAAGAAAGTTACATCATCTATTTCTCAGTGTAGCTAAGGTCAACCATACCAGAACCTGAATCGGGCGACCATTTTGAAGCCACCATCACGGCTGGTTCCTATCGTCTCACCATGAAGATCCATCACTGGTTGGGACGTTTTTTTTTGTTACTTTCCAATATGTATATAGTAATATATAGTACTAATATGTATACATATTTTATGATATATATATATACAATGAACACAGAATAATATATATATATATCATTATATATATATACAGTACATAGATTCTTTTGGATGGGTTGTTCCCAACAACCAGATTTTTCGCCTGCGGGCTTTAAAGATGCCTCCAGGGCTTCTGACCCTTGGGCGGATCGGGGACGCAGCGGCTTGCACCGTGGCATTGGGCTGTTCGAAGGCTCAGCGGCGTCCACGGGGGGTACCACTGGCATAACTATGGTTAATAACATGGCATAACATGGCATAACTATGGTTAATAATGGTTAATAATGGTTAATAATGGTTTATAATGGTTAATAATGGTTTATAATGGCATACCCTCTGGTAAACTAGCAGAACTAAGGAAAATCACCATGCTATTAATGGGTAAATCCACTATTTCGACTGGGCCATGATCAATAGCAAACTGTTAGACATTACCAGAGGGTAGTTTTAAGATCTTTTTCGTGGACCCAACATGTTTAGGATTTGGGGTCTCAAAATATGGAATGAAGATGTTTTTTCTTTAGTAATTAGGTGCAGACATGGCCTACGCCTAACTCAAGCTTTGTGGAAATGACGAATGGGGAAAATGAGGGTTGTCTCAAGATATGGAATTCCATTCATCCCATAGTTGATCATCCTTTTTCCACATGAAACTTACCATAAATTAAGGATAAATACACGATTTTGTGACACGACCTAAATTCATCAGCCTCAGATTGTAGTACTATGGCTTTTCCCCCATGATATTCCAGAAGATATCAACATAATATCGGAATTTTTATGATTTGACCATCGCATCCGGAGGTTTATCGCACCCTGCGATGGATTTTGGGTTATTTTCCAGACATTTCCAGACTTGAAGAAACAGACATGTTCCCGTGGTAATTACAAACATGGCTTTACCTGGAAATTGGGTGTACCAAGTCACGGCATTGTAACAGGGAAGAGGATGGTGGCCACCCATGGATTTTGCCAAGGTCTGTCGGCGGCCCAGAGAAGCAAGTGCCAAAGGCTCATAGCGTGCCCAAGTAGTCGGCCGCATCTTACATGAAACACAGCATGTGGGGGTTTCCGAAAATAGGGGTACCCCTGAAATCATCCATTACAATCATTACAATAGGATTTTCCAGTGTAAACCATCCAGCTATTGGGATCTTCCATTTATGGAAACCCCCTAATATAGAAGAGTAGTATCTTCAGCGTTCGACTTCAGCGAGTAGTTTTTCAACGTCGGGAGATGTTTGGGACTACTGGGAGGCGCCAGCGTCTGCCTTGGTGCCCATTTGGTTGGAGGGCTGCTTGGTGGGCAAGGATTCCTGGCATCAACCCCAGGCTGGGTGGATTGTCCTGGAGATGATGAAATTTTGTTTGTGCCCCAGTCATAGATGCCGAAAAATGGGAGGACATATGTATTAAATATATTTAAATATAATCCTGGTTGGTGGTTTGGAACATGTTTTATTTTTCCATTCAGTTGGGAATGTCATGTCATCCCAACTGACGAACTCATATTTTTCAGAGGGGTAGGTATACCACCAACCAGAGATTCATAATCGGCATAACCTCCTGGAAGCACTTTTCTCTTGCTCTTTCTGGGGATTGGTTTCCGCTGAAAAGAGCAGCTGCAATTTTGGTGAATGTTTTTGGGTTAGTGTGGGTGGTGGACCCATTTTTTCTTATTGAAACTTGGTGCATCATGACAATCTCTGCTGAGATTATGTATCATATATTAGATATCATATATCATATACCACTCACATTTATATACATATACATACTATACACATGTATATATATAAAATATATAAATATATCTATACAATACATATATATAATACACATGTATATATGATACATATGTATATATATAATACATACATACATATATATATATATGATACATATTATATATAATACACATATATAATACATATGTAATACACACATATATATATATAAAATGTATTAAATGTAAATATATATATATACATATATATAGTATGTATATTATATATATGTATTATATACATCATACATATATACAATACATATATATAATATACATACTATATATGTATATATATATTTACATTTAATACAAATATATTAAATATAATACATATATAATACATATATAATACATATATAATACATATACATAATACATATATATATATATAATAAATGTGTAAATAATACATATATATAATACATATATATAATACATATATATATATATATTTAATACATATATATACAATACATATATATGTATTACATATATCTATAATATATATATATAATACACACACATATATATATATTACATATATAAAATACATATATATATAATACATATATATACACATATATATAATACATATATATATATATACATATATATATATAATACACATATATATATAATACATATACATATATATAGAATACATACATCTATGATATATATAATATATATAATACATATATATAATACACATATATAATATATATACAATATATATATAATACATAAATATATATATATATCATACACATATATATACAATACATATATATATATATATACATATCATACATATACATACAATACACACATATATATATATAATACATATACATATATACAATACATATGTATAATACATATATTCAATACATATATATATAACATACATATATAATACATATATATATGATCCATATGTAAATTTTACATATATATAATACACATACATTATATATATATTACATTTATATATGATATATATATATATAGTATAGTACATATATATAATACATATATTTAATACATATATACATATGATATCAATGAGCTACAACGAGCTGCCTTTCTTTTGTGGCCAGGTGACCATCTCTGGAGAATTGGAGGCGCGTGGCATTCCCACCTCACTGCGGCAGGCGGCCGAGGACTTTGCCAAGGCGCCAAGGAGCCACGGCCGGCCGTGGGAAGGCTACCAGGTTTGTGGTTGCCAGGGAAATGACCATCAAATATATAAGTCTGGGTACCCTTAAATCATCCATTTTTGTTGATGGGTTTTCCATGAAACCATCCATAGGGGAAGGATATGTTGTATGTATGTATGTATATATATATATATGTATATATATCTGGGTAAATTATAACGACCTCACTGTTCTCCCGAGCCCTGGAATCATGGTTTTTATATAAGGGAAATCATCCCCAAATGGCCGCAAGATTCAGGTTAGTGAAATATTTTAATTTACCCACATATATCTGGAAATTGCCATAAAAAACAGGAGGGAAAAAAATCAGTATTTCTGATGATGCCTTCTGGCAATGTGAAAGGGTGCAGAGGAAAATAGAAAAAACAACATTTGCACATATTAAGTTATCAGGGGGTAGCCATGAAACATGGGATAGAAACATCCAAGCTGGGTGGGTTTAACCACAAACCATTCAACAAACATTCACAAATTGGGGGTACAGTATGAAACGATCAACCACACAGAAAGATTGCAATTTTACCATTACACATAGCAGACACTGGAGTCAAATGGAGATACAATAACCGACATGGTGCAATTTCCTCATTTTAGGGACGTAATGTGGATGTAATGGGGCTATAACAGGAATGCAACCAACAGGAGGTGCAAAGTGACGCCCGAATTTGTTAGCAAAGATACTTTGTAAGCAGATGTAAGCAGGGTTACGAGGTTGAACAGGTGGATATATCATACCCTCTGGTGAACTAACATAGCAATGGAAAATGGCCATTTATAGTGGATTTTCCCATTAAAAATGGTGATTTTCCATTGCTATGTTAGTTCACCAGAGGGTATCTTAATGTTGGATAGGGGTGAACAGAACCGACACCTGGGAGGCACGTATTCTGTGGGCTTGACCCTCAGAGTTGGTTCACTTCTTGTTCTCAAGGCAGAAGAAAGTCTTTAAACGACCACGTGTTTTTGAGATATTCTGAGTCAATCCAATTGATGTGTGAAACTACTGATTGATGTATAGTAACCAACCCCAAAGAAGATAGAACAGTAATTTGCCATCATCATGTAGGATTTTACATCAATCCATCTTCAAAAAGGGGTTGCCATCTTTACTTCCCTGTGGCTGAATTTCGCGCTGGTTTCGGTCATCGACATGAAATCTCGAAGGGCCAACGGTGGGTACATTTTTTTTTTCTAAAGGTCCTTGCAGGGATGATGCTGAAAAAGACACGTAGCCTCTGGTTTTTTGAAACACGGCAATTGAAGATCCACTATTTATTTGGAGGTTGTTTCCATGGGAAAATCATCAATGGGTGATGTCCAATTACTATGCTTGATTACCGGAGGGTATTTTTCAGGTTCCTGGAAATAAACACTGCCAAAATGAACTGGAAAGCCAAAAATGACTCAACATTGCCATATTTTTGCGAACAGGATGATTCAGCAGCGGATTTAGGGGTACCATATTTCCAGACAAACCCGAATAATCCATCTCCAGTCCTTAGGTCTCTGGTCCTGCGCTCCAGGACACCAGAGGCACCCTCCGAATGATGGCTTTGAGGAAAAAGCGTCGCGAATTTGCGGGCGAAATGAAGTCTGGGTCGCCCCCCAGCTTTTTTTTTGTTGTTTTAAGGATATCCATCCCATGATTCCGGAGAACATCTTTTTCAAGATACCCCAGGTGACCAAGTGCTTGACTTCAACGCAAACACATCGCTTCGAGACGCAGCTATCGCAGCTGAGGTTACTCTGAGGATTCCTCCGCTGGCAGAGGCTCAAAATATCGTCCAGTGACCAAAGTGTCACATCCATCACCGTCCAGCCACTGAGCTGCAGATGACACTGAGTAGTCCATCGTTTGCGAAGACAGATTGCTTTTGCTATCTGGGTTAGTCCTAAAAGTGGACTACTACCCTCTGGTTATTTGTTACATAGCCATGGACAATGGCCCATTTATTTCAGGGATTTTCCATGGCTATGTAACAGTCATAACCAGATGGTACCCCCCAAAAAGGCACGAAAAAACAGGTCAATTTCAGTGTGAAAAAAACCATCGGAACCCTACGGTGATTTGGTGAGGCCATGCTTCTTTCCAGAGCCTTCAAAGCGAAAGTCTTCAGGCGCACAGCATCCAATCTCAGTGTTTTCTTAGACACATTTAAAGCATCTAAAGATGTAAAACCCTATCAAAGAACATTTTAATATTTCAGAGAATTACAGGAACCACCAAAAAGATAGAAAGGTATGAGTATACAACTATTCTAGTAGGATTTAGGGTTTTACTTTTTGTATCTTTTTGTAATATATCTTTTCAAGGGTATGTTGCCTGTCAATAGATGGAAGCGCCGGGGGGGTTAGGAGGCTGAGATAAATCTCACCCAGATAGCTGTCCCTACAGCAAGGATTGATTGGGTACCTATCCTATCGCTTGTCAACAGCTCTTCTTCTTAGGGGTAGAGCAGGGCACGGTAGTTCTTCCAAGAGATTTGTATCCTGTATGGTGGTTCATCCCAGTAATGATCGGAAACTGTGGATTCTATGGGATTTCATGGACTTGAATGGGAGTTGCTTGGGATTGCAGCTGGGGTTAGTTTTATGCGTATAACTATGGAATTCTAACCTCCATAAGTTGGGATATGGGGCCCCTACAACTATGGTTATATAGATATGTAAGTTATGTACCACACTTTTTAAGTGGAACTGCACCCCGAAGTAATACGGGTCTCATGCTGGGGAATCCCTGTACTTGATGGTGAGTGCTTGTACCAGCTGCCTGAAAGACTTGAGCTTGCAGTTTGCAAAGCTTGACCTTCTGAATTACCCTCTGGTAATTTAACATAACTATGGAAAATCACCATTTATAGAGAATTTTCCTATCAAACATGCTGATTTTCCATAGTTATGTTAGTTTACCAGCGGGTATCATGAGGGACATTACTACCAGTCAGTTTTTTTTTCAATGTGGCTCAGTTTTTAAATTTTACCAATACCAGTGGCTCTCAGAGGATGTAGGGTCACCCACTTGGATGTCCATTGAGCTACTCGCAAGTGATTGTACCCAGTGATTGAATGTAGCCAATTCCAAAATTTTCATCCAGTGAGTGAATTCATTGATGAATTCATATTTTTCAATATCCCATTTAAATAAGTGGATTAATAACAATTGTTGTAGCCCAGTTATTTGAACGGAGACATGGGATGCTCGGATGCCCTGGCTTTGTTATGGCTTTGTTATTGAAGGATCTTGGAGGTAAAGGAAGCAACTGGGGAAATCCATTCATCATATATTCTGAGAAATCTCATCAGAAAAAGATCCCAGAAATTGATTGTTTTTTGCCTTGTTCTCAGCAAAATCCCAATAAATATCCCATTAAATAATGTTAACTATCCATAACTATCCAATAATCAGTTGGATATACCTATCCCATGGTCTCTTTTGAAAAATCATGCACATCCGCAGCACCATGCCAGATACGGGCCTTTCCTTCCTCTGGCGCGTCAGAAGGTGCCGAGGGAAGTATGGAATTTTCAAGACATCCTCACTCAAATACAATGTGGTGCCCCCCAGTTGTAAGTTGGTTTATAAACCCCATGAATACTATAGTTATAAGTACCATAAACCATAGTTACTGGAGTTATAAACCAACTTAGCTATCTTGGGGGCCCCACATTGTAGGAATGTTTTGTAACATGCCATATTTTATCTACTTCAGAACGAAAAAATAAAGATAAGTACTCTATGATTAAAGTATATGATACTTTATGATACTTATCAAGTATATGATTTATATAATAATTTATATATCATCATGATTTATGATACTGTCGTACACGGGTAATTTTTCACAGGATACCACATCTTCAAAACCATGAACCGATGCACTCTGAGCGAAGAGAAAACCAGGAACCCCAATCGATCCAGCCGTTGATCATCATGAATCCCTACCCAAAAATATTGCCATTAAATATATCCATTGCTTCATTGATCAAATCTCCATTTTAGTCCGTTAAATCCATATTTTGGTTGGTCAAATCCATATGTTTTCCCCCGAAAGATCGCTTTTCCTGCAAAGTGGTGCCCCCCCAGTTATAAATTGGTTTATAAACCCTATTAACTATAGTTATATCTGCCATAAACCAGAGTTAAGCAACTTATAAGGCAACTTAGCTAACGAACTGGGGCACCACCTTTATGAACCATTATTAACCATAGTTATGCCATAGTTGTGCCATAGAAAGATGGCTTTTCCTGGGAAAGTCCTTCATCCTTCAGCTCCGCTCGGGCAGCGCAGGTGGCGCAGCTTGCACCGCAGATCCGCTGCTTCGCGGCGACAGCGCCGGGCGCAGCGTGGCCCCTGGCGTTTTTTTTTTTTTCGGGCCCTAGTAGGGGATACCTCTATTAAGCAACCATAGAATGATATATATACTATATATATATATTATATATATATACTATATATATAATATAGTGGTTGGTTAATGAATCTAATTAATCTATACATATTATACATATTATATATATACCCTCTGGTTATGACTAACATAGCCATGGAAAATCCCTGAAATAAATGGAGGTTTATAGCTGGGATAATCATCTATATATGGGCCATTTTCCATGGCTATGTTAAATAACCAGAGGGTATTATATATATAATACAGTGGTTCATTAATGAATCTAATTAATCTATTAAACCACTAGATATAAATCTAATTGCATATAGTGGTTCGTTGATAAATCAAATTGCAATATCATTGCAACGGAATTCATCTAATTGGAAACTTAATGATGCTGTATATATATATATACATATACATGTATCGGGATATTTTATGGGGATATTTTACGCAGTGTGTTTGTGTGTGTATGTATACATGTATATGTGTAACGTCCAGTTTATGGGGATATTTTATGGGGATGTGGGGGACACACACACACATATATATATATTTATTAAATATCTATAGCTATATATATATATAGTACACATTTATATTTATAGACATGTATATGTATATATACACAGTATATATATATACATACAATGTAATACATCATATATACATGCAGTATATATATATATAATGATATGTATGTTTAGTATGTGTATATATATATACATACACACGTACAACCATCAAGATGAAAATATGGGTTTCGTATGGCAAAGCAATCTACTGGGATGTTGCCGATTCAGGATACAAATCTTTGGGAAAAGCAGTTCTGTAATGGCTAGGGCTTGGTATTTGGTTGACTCAAGAGGCAGAAACTGGTTCAAACTTGCTATTCAAAGCTTAGGATTGACTAGTTGGACTGAACCATACTGAACTTGACCAGTGCAAGATTTTTGATTCAGCGCCAATCAGCTGAAGCTGAGTCGAAAATTTGATACATTGCCCTATGTTTTTGGCAGGAGAAGATTTCAAAGGAGCGACCCGATTCCATTGTGGATGAGGCGGCCACGGTGTGCCAATTGTGGCTGTGGGATATGGTTTTGGTGCTTGGGACAATTGAGTCATTCAAAGACGCTTGGGTTCCTGTTTTTGACTGTGGGTTGGGGGTCGACTCGAAGTTGAGGGTTCGGAACGTTTCGTTCATACAAATTCATTGACGGAGCTTGGATCTACCTCGTGGCTGGTGTCAGGGTTGCGGATTCGGAAGTTTGGCCAGACATGCAAGGGGCTATATATGCTTGGTGCCAATGCAGGGCAAGATATCAAAGAATGTTGCCAAAAATTCTTCTGTTCTCCATACCAAAAGGATATCTACAGTAATTATTAGTTAGTATCCAATTACTTTTCGTAGGAAGTGACTGGTCATATCTTCCTTGTTTTTTCTTGAAATACCCTTACATGTGCCATGGGGGAGGGTCATCCCCCCATTTCCCGCCAGGATGACCATGCCCCTTGACAATACCATGTACCTTCTGGTAATTTCACATAGCTATGACAAAATTCACGATTTTTCCTGGGCAAAATGATCTATAACCGATTTTACCTTGGTAGAAGTATCTATATATGGTCCATTTTCCATGGAAAACTCTGAACTTTGTGCAGGATAGCTTGACCACGAGTCACAACTAGCGCAACTACCGCGGGGGGGCGTCCCAGACAGGAAATGCGAGCCGCTAAGCCGCGATATCCCATCATTGCAGGGCGCCCCAGTTGCCTATGGATTTGGGCATCCAAATTTCTGTGGGTTTCCCATAGATTTTCCAACGGAGTTTCCAGGGTTTTCAACTCGGTGCCCTGGGTTTTGGATTCAGTTTTTGATTCACAGCTGCCAAGTTCATGACCGTGGCCTTGGTGGGAATGATGTCTGGCACCTAGGAACACCGCACCGAGCTCTTAGCCTCCGGTCATCCATTGAGTTTGATGATTTGATGACGAGCTGTGAAGCTTCGACTCAGGTTTGGCTGGGCCCCATTTCTATTTGGTGGAGTCATTCTCGGTTCGGTTGCAGAGCAATCAACCACGCAGGTGGGATTTGAAACTTGAGGATCTTCTTTCAATATCGGGTATCCCCATTAATGGGAATTAATGGGAAGATTTGTTTCACCGATGAAATGTCTGAAAATGATTGAACATGGGAATGTTCAATGTTCTAATCCCATTCATATCAGAGAATTCAATGCAAGTGTCAATACCACTTGTCTCCCTGGTGCACAAAAGTAACATCCACCAACAACTTTCGCCGCGCTCGCCGCCGCCGCGAGGCGAAAGCGGTCGGCGGCCAAAGCGAGCGTGGTGATGAAGTTCGGGAGAAGATGAAGCGTGATTTTGCGGAGCCTTGAACGAATCATCAACCCATCTCAACCCCTGGGTCTGAGTCGATTTCTTTACGACCCCCCAAAACGATGTTTTTTTTTCTTTTTATACCATGTATAAGCCATATATACCAGGGCACTGGGGTACATCATGGTACAACATGGTTCTTACCCATTTACTGGCTGAGATGCAACCCTACTGAAGTTGACCAATCAATCCTGTGGATGCCAAAAAATTGGGAGATCATGGGTGAATCATGGGAAGAAACTACCGAACTTCTTGTGAGTTTTTGATGTTTTTGATGGGTGCATCATGTTCCAACACATGGTCTTCGCTGCGCTTGACCCATGCAATGTTGGCTTGTCCAAGATATCTCTTGTCCCTAAAATCCCCAAATATGGGATACCCCAAAAGAAGAAACTGATGATACGCCTTGGATTTTAGGGGTTACAAGTTGCCATTTTTTTTTGGGCATGGTTTTCCTTTGACCAAGGAGCAACGGGCCAAAGAGAAAGAGGCGAAAATGGCCAAAGAATGAGGTCTTCCAAAAGCTTTGCAGTGGAGGCCATTGGTGGCTTTTCTCTATGGCAACCCCGAAAAAAGGTGCAGAAAAAGTCAAATCCAATACCTAAAATAGTGGCAAATTATCAGCTTTTCGATCTTTGTGGGCACTGGCACTACTATAGTTACTATTAGTTACTATGCACACCTCCAAGAGTTCATTCTTAGATTCAAACATTGAAAAATGAACTGCACTGGCTATCTACAAGCTGAACACGGCGTTTTGGACGCAGAAACTGCCACACTGTTCGTCTAGAGGATGATCTCTACACATCTCTCCAGGACATCTGGAAAACCCTGCACACATTTTGCGTTGGAAGTGCGGTAGTTATGGCATGTTATGGCCATCTCAAGTTTCAAGACTATCTGCAATTCAGCGCTGTGGCAGGTTCTGCATACCCCTGAGGCCCCTGGCTGTTCGACCACGTTTAATTGAGTGAAAGGTCAGAAAAGGTGCACACGACTTTGATTTGTGGACAATTTTTAGGTCATTTGTCGAGCAAAGATTCGATTCAAACCATTGGCTTCGGTGGAAAAGCATTTGCCCAGCAGCCGGGCGGCCTGAAGATAGCAAGATTGACACATTGCCTGCACAATTCATTTGCAAAGCTGTCTAAATGAACATTGCCTCTTCCATTCGATACATGTCACCTGGCTACATGCTACTCAGTTTTCATGGGGATGGTTTGGGGGTGGGGCAATAGCATCAGATTTCTCTGCATGGGGGTCTTGCCCTGCCAGATGTGACACCCTGGGGATCCCTGGGGCATCCGCTGCAAATTTCAGCTGACAGAACGCAATCTGGCAACGAACAAGGAACTCAGCGTAGCTTTTTCCCAACTCGCTGACAGGGCATCTTGGTGCTGTTTGCAAGCGAGTTAGCCCTTCCAAGCAATGCCTTCAGAACAACGGTGAACAACGCTGACATGTTCGAGCCAAAACATGGGCCTCCAAAAAAAATCACCCAGCGTGGATGGTGGCTTTGCAACTGAGGTGACATCAGAAAAACATTATCTGGATGATTTTTTAAATGCATGGATCTCAAGACAATTCCCAGAGTTTTCCACCAGTTTTCCAGCAGTTGTTTACAACAAAAACCATGCCGAGCCGGAGTTCCCGTGATCGAAGTCGAAGTTCGGGTTGGGGAGCCTGGCCCATTTCCTGAAAACTCGTCCCTGGAGTTCAGCTTTGTCCAGAAAATGGGCCCCGTTTCACTCAAAAAACCATTGGATTCTGCGGCATGCCCCGTTTCGGAGTCGCTATTTTGATGGGGATATATTAACCTAACCAGCTACGATTTGGCCATGGTTGCAGTATATGTCCACGATTCTCCGGTTATTCCCGTTGCATTTCTCAGAATGTGCGCACCAAATGATGGTAAATTCCTCTATGATATTGTATTGCACCGCCATTTTTGGAACAAACCATACAAATCATGGTCATACATTACATCATACAGCATCCCATTCCAAATTCTTCCCATTTTTTTACATTTTCCCTCTTGTCATCCAACATGGCGTCCTGCACAATTCCCCATTTATAGATGATTTTCCCATGGCAGTAGCACCTCCATTTAGTTGGGGGAATTCTCGTCCATGTCACGAAAGGTAGCGTCAGCTACCTGAGTTCTCCGTGCTTCAGCACAAGCTTAGGGGGTATTGGGGGGCCAGCCCGTGCAATTCATGGAATTCTCGCCGTTATGTATTGGATATCAATTATAGGGGGGGGGGGGGCCCCCCCCCCCCCCGAAAATGGTCATGGGTTCAATTCCCACGGGTGACGCGGTCACGGGCCCCCACATTAGAGGCACACTTTCCATGAGGGAGATGTCCCTGTAGTCCAGCATAATTGGTATGCTTCAGCCTCAATAACAGTTGCTGCAAGGGGTCTTAAAAAGGGGTTTTAAATAAACCCCTTTTCGTGCATCATTTCACGCAGCACAAGACACAGTGTCATGCAGTCATGCTCTGGATAAAATCATATTAGACTGCGCAAAAACGTTTTTGGTGTATCATCTTAGGGGCGCAGCATTTTGACACCACTCCTCTCCCACTACACTACCTTTCGTCCGCCTCCGCCTGCTCTCAAGTTTCATTACCAGAGGGTAATTTTTTTTATTATCTACTGTATATATGTTCAGACATATACCGAAATTATATTCATGGATATGATTATCCCATATTATCCAAATATTATCCCACATGTTCATCTATCCCATTATAATATTGTCCCATAATATGGGTGTATAATGATAATCATGTATAATGATTATATAGGGTCCAATATTATCCAATATTATGATATCCAATTGATTATCCCATTATACCATGATATTATCATTATCCCATTCATGGATTATCCTCTATGATCCAATATTATCCCAATATTATCCCATGAAAAACACACTCTTTGACCAGCAAACTCCCCATGTTCCCCTTGCGAAATCAGGACGGAGACGGAGACGCGGTTTTCAGACGAGGTCAACTCCTTGGAAAAACGACAGACCAGTTACATTCATCGAATTGTGAGACATACCAAATATATATATAATATATATAATATATAATATAATATATATATATAATATAATATATAATATATATATAATATATAATATGTAATATATCATATATAATATATAATATATAATATATAACATTTAATATATAATATTTAATATATAATATTCAATATATAATATTAAATATATAACATTTAATATATAATATATAATATAATATATAATATATAATATGATATAATATAATATATAATATATAATATACAATATATAATATAATATAAGATATAATATAATATAATATAATTTAATATATAATATACAATATATAATATAATATAATATGATATAACATATTATAATATAATATGATATCACATATAATATAATATAATATATAATATAATATAATATATAATATAATATAATATAATATAATATATAATATAATATAATATAATATATAATATATAATATAATATAATATAATATTATATTATATATAATATATAATATAAT